CTGTCCCTTCATCCCTATCTCTCTCTTTCTTTCTGTATCCATCTGGAGAACAGGATTGTTTCCCGTTATACAGTTATTTCTACAGATATACTGTTTCTGTACATTAATACCATAACAATAAGTGTTATCCTTATTATTTAGGGAAAGATGATAAATGAGTAGATAAATTATTGTTATATAAGTTCTCGTTCACAACCAATAACTTTTAACTTTGACGAAAGAGGATGATATTTATCAACACTCAGCAGATTGATAAATCTGCTGAAGAAGTTCACAGAGAAACGTTCAGAAAATCTTGTTTTGATTTTCTTAACACGCTGGGATTAATTTAATAATTTATAATGAATCAATCTGACTCGGCGCTCAAATTATTCCAGGAAGTTCGTAACACCTACGGCCTCGAAACCTATAATTTATCAACACTGATCAACAAGTTCACTACTGAGATAATATTATCAGTAGTGTATGTGATAAAAGAGTGTTGACTGATCCCCCTTCTCATTTATGCTCTCTGATAATATACTTGGTTAGCTATAGTGAAATCAATAGGCTATAATGCTAATTAGGTTGTGTTTTCCTGCTCTCTCTTTCCACCAGTCAACACTGTGTATATTTTCTACATAAACAATAGCTGTTTGATAGCTAACTCCTCACTGGACAGTATTTCCACCTGCATCATGTCTAAATTTATAAATTCTTCATTATAATATATAAACTGAAATTTCTAAAATAGCATATGTTTAAAAGTGATCTAATTGTGTTATAACCAAGAATATGGCCACAATTTTAATTCTCAAATCCTAAAATCTATATCATCAATCTCCAGCTAATTGATGGCTACCGGATGGATGTCCTGAAGCTGTAGTGAGAAGTCGAGGTAAATGGCGTGAAGCGGGTGCTCATCTAAGGCATTGGTGAGGGTAGTACTATACCACGAGTTGACAAAATTAGAATCCATGGATCTTTGAATTCTATCCCCAGTGGCTGAATAGTCAACAAACTTGGTCTCGTAACATGAAGGTCACAGGTCCAATCCCTGGAAGGGTGGTGGGTGCGTGATGCACCTCTGAAGAGTCTCAAGATGGGACGAAAGAGCTATCCAGTGCTCCCTGGTTTTCAGTGATCTCGTGACAAAATCTAATAACTGAAATTCAACTGATTAAATCCCCACAAATCCTATAATCTATCATTCTCAGAGTAATACATTCACATCAATTTATCAAATTATTGGCATTTCATATGATCATCTAAGTCCCAATTTTAATTGCATGATACAGAAGAAGTTATGAATCCTTTATCGTATTAGGTAATTACTTCTATACTTCTTATCCACGTGATAATAAGACACAACGATCAGTAAATGAATTAAAAATTAGAAGTAGTTAGGAGTCATCCACCATGAATCAGTTGAATAGCAAAATATAGAGCTAATCGAGTGAAATACAGTGTTGATATAAGTTATCACTAAAATTTAACTATTTACTTTCCATTTATTGTAATAACTAGTGATAAAATTTATCATGAATTTATGAATTTCACAGCAGATTTTGTCACGACCCAAATTCAGGTAGAGAATCGTTGAAAACTAAGCAGAACTAAAAGGTTGTTTTGTCACAATTTAGGACCAATGCTCATCTACGAACCCACTAAGGATCGATCTCGGCACAGGTCGCTGAAATCCATCTAGATGGCTGAACAGTCAGTGCGTTTACCTGGTAATACAAACGTCCTTGTTTCAATCCCTCATGCAGTCATGAGTACTTTTCGCCAGAGTCTGCTTCTTCGTTTCCAATGATTCTCGAACTGTTGTTGGTTCACGACAAAATCTGTTTTGAAATTAAACGAAGATTCCTACAAACCTGAAATTCGAATTTATGAACAATTATCTTATTGGAAAATTTTCATTCTAGATCTGGTTCTTGTGTTTGTGTGAGAAATATCCTGAGTTTTATGCAGTTCACTATTGGTGTCATAAATATTTCCAGTCCGTTAAATAGAAATCAGGAAACAGACTCTTATGAAAAACTTTATCGACTAAGCTTAGTAACAGCACAATCAGGAAAAATAAAAGTAATTGTTATTAGAGACATTAATGTGAGTGAGGAACAAGAAGACACGGTAAGGTGAAGATCCATAAAACTACCTAACAAATTATTACTTAATTAATAAATACTTTGAACCCATTAACTAATCTGTGAGCTTATAAAGGTGCATCGATCGAGGTGGCTAGGATGTGTATTACTCATGTCAAGGCGACACAGTTTGAATTTCCAAGTGTTACTTTGTGGAGATTTGGTTGTTTTCACCACTGAGATGGTTAGGACATGTGTTACGTATGCCTAGTCATCGCCTTCCTCGACAATGGGCAATGTTAGCTGAAATAGGGTCAGGCTGGAAAAAAGCTAGCGGCGGTCAAACCAAAACATGGCACCAGTCAATGAAATCCACAACAGTTAGTCTAAGCCACGTAGGAAGATGTAGACTTCTTGGTTGGGGTCCTAGGGACGGTAAAAACCAATAGTTGGAAAAAATTGGTGACATGGCTCAAAATCGTTCTCAATGGCTGGTACAGATGCATCCACTCCTTGTGACTCGTGATTTCCAATGAAACTGTTTTGTTCTCCATTATTACTATTCCTTTGTCTCACACCTCTATTTACTGACTATATTATGCATTTCTTCTACTTTCTTCTCTTGCTTTGTGTGCTACATGGAGTGTGACGACTTGAACTGCCGCACATATGTGCAAAGTTCTATGTCGAAAACCGACCGACCAACCACTGACCTGCGTTGATATCATTTAGAGAAACTCCGAAAACCAGGGAGTAGTGAACATCTGTTTCGTCCTAGTTTGGGACTCTTCATTAGTACACACCCATGACTTCAACGGGGATTGGTTCGAGGACCTTCAGGTTACGAAACGAGCTCATTGACCATTCAGCCACTGGAACAGAATCCAATGGCCTATGAATTTTAACTTCTGTCAGTTCGTGATCTTTAGTTCCACCACCGGCCAATATGCTTGCTGACGAAAAGTCCCAAACTAGGATGAAATAGATGTCTAGTACTCCCTGGTTTTCATTGGTTCTCAAACTAACATCAATCCCTGATCAAATCTTAAACACCTTGAACTGCTACACATATATGCAAAGTCCTAGTCTAAAAGTCCAGTTCATCTGAGGTTAAAATTGCTAAAATATTCAAACACACAACGTTGATTACAGAAGTTAATTATACTGCCGTGTGACTGAATACAATAACTCCTGCAAGAAAAACTATCAGTTGAAAAGTGGAGTTATTGAGTACCCTCTGTTCGAAGAATATAGTTTTCGAAAAAGTAAATCACCTTGTACATGCATGTCCTCGTGTGTGTGTGTCAATTGCGTAATTAAGTGAATGGAAGACATCAATAAAATAAAATTGTACCTTCACCTGATGACTTTAATATCATCCTGTGGGTGTGTCCATAACTATTCCCATAGTGATTTACTTATATCTTTAACAATATGAATTGTCCTCTGACTAGATAGATTCAAATGAAATTATAATGTGGAATAAAAATTCTTACTCAAAGGAAAATGATGAAAAATATCACCGGCCATGATGTAATATGTATACTGTAAAAAGACTAATTTTATCTAGTAGTATTATATTATTATTATTGTTTCCTTTAATTCCTAGAGGAACATAGGGCTTCAGCCGTGCGTCTCCATTGCGTTCGGTTCTCTGCTAGAGTCTTCACCTGGCTCCAAGTCTATCCACACGTTTTCATCTCCTTTCACATGACCTCCTCCAAGTCACCCTTGCATTGACGACCAACTCGCCGCTTCCCTTTCGGGTTCCACTCGAGTAGTAGTAGTAGTAGTGCTGATTATTAATCTACTTCTTTTATTGTGATAAGTGACTGTGTATCCATCGAATACTGATTGAGTGTACAGCATAAGAATGCACAATTGCACTGGACACAACAATAAAACATTATCACTGTATGATGTGAAGGATAATAAAAGGGATATTATTAGCTAAGGATTATTATCTAGATGGAATCAAAAGCCACAAGAGTAATATTCAACTATTTATCAGTTAAACTTTGCTTGTAACTACTATACTTTGTGATATAGTTTCAAGTGTCAAAGGCTGATTGACTTTGCACAGAAGTGCACTAGTTCAAGTTGCCACACTTCAGTAGCACATAAAGGTAGAGAAATGAGAGAAAAGAAATTCAAAGGGACTATGATGAGCAGAAATTTCACGGGAGAAAGAGTAGTAACATGGGAAAACATGAGTATTTAATGAATCTAGAAGATTATAAAAAGTGAATCCAATTGTGCTGTTAAGAACAGTTTTGAGCCACATCACTGACAGTCACAAGTCATTGGTTCTTAGCACCCTGGGGACCCCAACTAGGCAGCTGACACATCTCAAACCAACTGTCAAAGACTTCATAGAAGGATATCAAGTTTTGGTTTGACTACCCTTAAATCTTTCCCAACCTAATCCTACTGATGTTTTTTTTTTAAAATCAATATTAGATAGCTATACTATTATGAGTACAAATCTCTAACCAATTTCCATAACCAACTCATACATCAGTTTTTCAACATTATCTATTAGACAAAAACTGGGATATTTAACAACCCTTTATTTACACTGTTTTTTTCTTCTTAAATATCTGTTTCTTGTCATTATGAATATGCCTTCTTAAAAATGTTCTTCTGCTTCAGTTGAGATGATAAGAAAAATATCTCCCTGCTCAGAACTCCATTAATGTAATCGCTGAGATACACAATATAAGAATGTTAAAGACATGCACATATATGTCACGAGTTTCTCAACATCTGGAGTTATTAAACTGCTCTGCTCTATGTAAATAATTTTTTTTCTGCTCGACTTATTCCGTTACAATAATTACTACTTGTAGAATGCCTTATCAGTAGTGTGACGATAATATTTCTTTAATTCTAATAATTAAGGTATTAAAAGTATCACTGGTTACTTACTGTCGACAGTCCATATTCATTTAGAGTAGCGTGTTCCAACAGTATAGTATTAACATTTCTAAAACAATAATTCTATATTAATTATCACCTACTTATCAGTGAGAACACCGCGTGTCAGAACATCTTCAGTGACGGAAGATATAAATTTCAAATAATTCATCTCGTTTTTTCTGTAAAAATATAAGCAAAAATAATATATGCATATGCTATTAGCATAAATAAAATTGAACAGAATGAAAGAAAAACTTTGACAAGACGGTAATTTCCATCCGTTCACATGTATCAAATTCACTCAGGATTTATTCGTCAATAATAAATCAGTTTTGACTGTCATTTTATTGCTGACACACACACACACACATACATAAACTGTAAGCCAATTGTTTTGAGACAATGGAACTCAGTAAACTGTCATATTTCATGGATTCTTTTTAACTTCCCTATTCATTATTGATATATCCCTATTCATCACAGTACACAAAATGAAATGTGTCTTTTCTCATAACATTAACTATGATCTGGTGATTAATAGACGGTAATCTGCTTTTACTATTCTCTTAAGTAATCAATATTAGCAGATCATACTCCCTGTGACTTCTGCCAATAAACATTCAGAACTAGTTGGAAAGTTGTCATACTTGGATAATTTTGTCAGCCCTAGCTCTATGGATGAATGGTTGGGTTACATATTCGGATACCTTACGGTTTGACATCATGAAAAATAGCTCTTTGAGCAGTGTTGAAAGACATGTGCAACTAAACACCTTAAGAAATTACGATATGTTACCTTGAAGTCTTATTATTATTATTATTGTTTCCTTTAATTCCTAGAGGAACATAGGGCTTCAGCCACACGTCTCCATTGCGTTCAGTTCTCTGCTAGAGTCTTCACCTGGCTCCAAGTCTGCCCACACGTTTTCATCTCCTCTTCACATGACCTCCTCCAAGTCACCCTTGCATTGACGACCAACTCGCCGCTTCCCTTTCGGGTTCCACTCGAGCAATGGCTTGTCTAGTGATGTCACTTGATGGTTTCCTCAGAGTATGGCCAGTCAATCCATCTCCACTTCTTCCTGCCTATTTGTTTCACAATCGGTTCCTGCTGGTTGGTTCGCTCCCACAGGTCCCTATTGCTGATCTTTTCTGGCTGGCCATCTGATCTTGAGTATTGAGCGAAGACAACTGTTAATGAAGGTCTGTAGTTTGTTTGAGGTGCTCTCTATGACGCGCCAAGTCTCTGATCCGTATAGTAGCACTGACTGACTTCACATTGGAGTTGAAAATCCGGATCTTATTTTTGATGCTGAGTGCTGTTGACCTCCACATAGGCTTGAGAGTAGTGAAAGCTTGTCTTGCTTTTCCGATTCTTGCTTTGATATCCTCATCAGTTCCGCCTGTAGTTGAGACGACGCTTCCCAGGTAGGTAAAAGAGGTTGTTTCATTCAGGTTCCTTGCATTTATGCTGATCGTTGTCTGTTGTTGTTGTTCCTGTCCAGGAATCTTCATCACCTCTGTTTTCTCTATGTTCACCTGAAGTCCTATCTTTGATGCTTCTTCTGCCAACTTGTTGCTTTTCGCTTGCATATCTTCCAGTTTGTGGGAAATCAGACATATATCATCGGCGAAGTCCAGATCCTCCAAGTTTTTTGTGTGAGTCCATTTTATACCTGTTTCCTCATTGCCCGCTGTTTGTCGCATTATCCAGTCTACTGCAATCAGGAAAATCATTGACGATAGTAGGCAGCCAGCTTGTCTTACTCCTGTCCTCACTTCGAAGGATTCCGTAAGTTTCCTGTTGTGGATTACTTGGCATGCAGCATTGTCGTACAGCTGTTGGATGAGATGTATAATTGTCGGTGGCACCCCATAGTGATAAAAATAATAATAATAATGTATTCTATTTAAATGTTCTGTTTAGGAAAGTATCTTGAATCAGATCGCCTCTTTTCTCAATGTTCACTTTACACTTAGTCGTGTCTTGTTCACCCCACCTTCACATTTGGGGCTTCATTTTGTGTGACACACACATTAGTGATCATGTTGGACTACAAAATAATAACAATAATGGATGATGAAGAAAAGTCAATTGCGTAACATGTTGATCCGCAATAGCCTCAAAGGAATAAGCACCAGGGAAAAGTTAGAAATCAGGTAGATGGAAAAAAACCTAAATTCAGAAACTACTCCGACACTACTGAGTATTCCAAATCCTTATCAACCTCATTCAGCAGTCACATGACAATGTCACGTGTCAAATTATTCACAATGGAAAACTCAGAGAAGGCTTTGAAGTAAAGATAGGAGTAAGACAAGGCTGTCTAATACCATCGAGTATATTCCTAACTGCGATGGACTGAATTAAGCGGAAGACCATGGGGAGTGAGAAGACAGGGATACACTGGACCGACAAAAAGACTATAGAAGATCCGGATTTCGAGAAGACTTACAGGCGAAAACCAACAAGTTGGCAGAAGAGGCAGGTGGCTAAGTCAGGACTTCAAGTGAACATAGAGAAGACGGAGGTGATGAAGGTAACCAACCAACAACAAAAAACAGGCACCAGTCACTATCAACGCAGAAATTTGAAAGAGGTCACTTTCTTCACTTATCTAGGAAGCATCATTTCAACTAAAGGAGGCACAGATGACGACGTCAAAGCGTCCGAGGGTGACATGGAGGAGATCATGTGAGGAGGAGGAGGAGAGATGAAAGCTTATAGGCAATCGTGGGACTAGCTGAAGAAGATTGCAAAGAACAGGATAAGACGGAGATGTGCTGTAGAAGCCCTATATTCCACTCGGGACCCAAGGGGATAACAATAATAACAACCAATAACTCGTCCAGGGTCACTAATGAGAACAAATAATGTGACTGTTAGAAAATCCTTACAGAGTAGACATTTTATTACTACGTCATTTATAATGACAGATAAAGCAATATCACTGCTACGGCATTTATTTCGGACAACACAACAAGACCTTCAAACAACTATGCATGATTACTTTTTAAGAGTGCAATGACGATACATTAGTACCCATTCATAGTTTGAAAGAGAGCTCATCACTATGGTAACTATTACAATGTACCCAAGTAGAAATTCGCTGTTAACATTTATCTTGAATATATCAAAGATGAGTCACAACATAGGTTTTACTTATTATTGTTATTACTGTAGGCTAAAATTAATGGAATTGTAATTGTATAGCCTGAAGAAGAATTTATTTGAAAACAATTATTCTCTCTAATTATTGTTACTGTTTATACATTTAATCCATTCTAACTAAAAATGCTTTTATTTCATAATTCTTTTATTTCTCCTCTCATTAAGACACTAACCAAAATGAAATTAGTTTAGTTTTATTTGTAATGCAGACAGAATGTCCAGTAATAATAATAATAATAATAACTAATTGAAAAAAGGATACATTTTATGGATGAAATAAAGACAAACAAACAATTCATTTTTCGTTTAAACGACCTTGATAATTTTTTTTTAACTTTATTGTCTAATCTTATAGTACATATATCGATGTACTTATATCTGGTTTAATGACATGATTAATGGAGACACCATTGCTTGTATGCACGTGAGGCATATGAGATGTACGTACAGAATTTTGGACAACAGTAGACTATAATGATTTTAGTGCTAAAAGACATACTACTGAAAGTAGACAAAATATATAACTAAAATTTTATTTGCTTTATCAGTTTAATTCTCAAGACAATTGTTTTGATGAATGATATTGCTTGATCACATTATATCTTTCAGAAAATGAAAAATGAACAACTTTCATGAGTTTTTACTTCCACATGCATAATATGTAATTTAAGATGGTGATGATGATGGTGGCATTAGAAAAGTAACAGTAACTCACTTCAACGCTATTATTATTATTGTTATTATAACTATTACTATTGACATCCCTCTGGTTGCAATTCTTGTTAAATTCTCTAATGTCTAATTGTTTATCTAAGTGATGTAATTGAAGCGTAATGCAATTTATCTTAATTTTGATCTCTCATACTCTCTCTCCCCTTATCTATTTGAACATGACCTGGAAAAACATTCGTACCTGTCTTTCTGCATGACTAATTCAATGTAGTTTGTTTACTTATCAGTCCTATATCTCCCAGTGTAATTTCAAAAGTATATATCTAAAGTAACAGTGGTTGCAAAAAGATTACAACTGGATATTCTGCCAGCTGAGCTGACTCAAATATGAAGTCCTTCGAAACTTGTTGGCTGCTCTTATCATCGAAGTTTATTTCTTATTGTTTACGTGAAACATAAAGTTAGTTTTCCGTGACCATACAGGCTAGATAACGTCTGATTTAGACCAGTTACATAAGTTCTCTTTGGGAAAAATGCAATTTATGCACTTTTATCCGTACAAAATATCTTGCCACTGGTTACCGACGGCTATACGGTAAATTTAGAATTAAAACCTTTTCTAACTCTTTATTCTCAGAGTAAAGGAACAGAACAGATGATCACGTAAATCTCAATATTATTAGGCACCGGCAATGTAGTGGAACTTCCCCACACTATTATTACAGTTATCCAACCGACCTTTAGTGTAGTATGCCTTTCGGAAACAATCTTCCCAATCAATATAGTGCGTTGATCTCTTGCCATATACAAGCACCACATCTACATCAAGCTATCAACTGTCGGTCTGACTTATCTACTCAGTAATTGCATTCAAAGAACCTCAGATAGATTTGTTAATATTTATTTGTTAAGTGAAATTATAAAACCCATAATTCAGTTAATATAAACAATTAATCTACAATTAATAGATCTAAACAGAAAACATAACTTATTAACCATAATTCTGAATTTATTGAAACACCATCCTAGGCCTTGCATTATGAAACACAAGGGCTTCTTGCGTTACACAGTAGGTAAAAAACAGTATCATCGAAAGAGATTTGTGAAGACTTCATGTTAACAAGATTCTTAATTTTTTCCACCATTTAAGCTGGAAGAAAAACCGACTACTTACAAATTTTCTACTGATATTTCTTTTTCTACAGAATTATCAATCATTTGAGGATTTACATTGTCCTTAATGAATTCATTTTCTGGAATAATTGTTTGGAGATCTTCTGCATGACTCGTTGGTAAAGCTGTCTAAAGAGAAAATGAAGATAGATAAAAGTCAGGAAAAAAGTATCTAATTAGACTTTTGATTGAATAGTACACAATGAATGCAAACGACTCACGTCAGCTCATGATGAAATCCTGTAACTAACCAAATCCCTACAAACCAACACTTGAATATCGGTGAGATGCTCACTAGCGACTTGCCCTATTCAGGTAGGTAGTTACCTGGGGTTTTAGTGAGAAGTCGTTACCAGTAGGGTGCAGCAGGTCGGGTGTGAGGACAATACTCACCGAAGACATTCGCTAGTGGTCGCGCTATGTCTTGAATTGGCAGAAGTTAGAATTCATGGGCTGGCCATTGGATCGGTTCCCAGTGGCTTAATGGTCTACGAGCTCGCCTTGTAACCAGAAGGTCCTGGGTTCGAATCGCGGTGGGTGCGTACTGATGAAGAGTCCCAAACTAGGACGAAGCAACTGTCCAGTACCCCCAGGTTTCCCGATGGTTCTCTAACCGATTTCAGCTCATGATGAAATCCTGTAACTTTATCTGTTCCGCCAGTAGCTGAAACGATACTGCTTAGATAAATGAAAAAGGTGTCTTCCTTTAGATGTCTCATGTTGGTGATAACTGATGCTTGTTGTTGTTGTCGGTTAGGTAACTTCATTATCTCTGTCTTCTCAATGTTCACTTGAAATCCTGTCGTTCTTGCTTCTTCTACCAATTTGTTGGTTTTTGCTTTCGACATTAGACATGTCATCTATGGGCACAAATTGTCTAGTATATAAGGCAATGTAAAAATATCAAATCAGTAAAATTAGTTGTTGTTCCCTTGGGTTCCTAGTGGAACATAGGGCTTCAACTACACTGCCTCCACTTGCTTCTGTCTTCTGCTGTACTTTTCACCTGCATCCATGTTATTCCATACTGTTTCAACTCCTCTTCACACGATCTCCTACATGTCACTCTTGGACGTCCCACTCGCCGCTTCCCTTTCGGGTTCCACTCGAGCACTGGCCTGACGCGCGATGTCACCCAGCCGCCTCCTCAGCGAGTATCCAATCCATCTCCACTTTCTCCTGCATATTTGTTGAGCGATTGGTTCTTGCTTTGTTTGTTCCCATAGTTTCTTGTTGGTGATTCTTTCCGGCGGCCATCTGATCTTCAGCATAGAGCGAAGACAGTTGTTGATAAATGACTGCAACAGGCTGTTGAAATAAATAAATAAATATTCTTTGTGACCCGTCAAGTTTCTGATCCGTATAGCAAAACTGACTTGACGTTTGTATTGAAAATCCAAATTTTGTTGTTGATTCAGGCTGAGTGACGAAGATTTCCAGATTGGTTTCAGGTTGATGAATGTGTTTCTCGCCTTCCCGATTCTCGATTTGACATCCTCCTGTAGTTGAGATAATGCTCCCTAGATAAGTGAATGAAGTAACCTCTTTCAAATCCCTCCCGTTGATGGTGATTGGCGCTGGATGTTGCTCTTCTGAAAATATCCAGAAGAAGTCAATGCCGTTCTGGATGTATAAAAACCGATGTATTTTGTTGGGTTTCTTTTTGTTGACATTGTAATAAACCTCTTACTGTTTTACTGCTACTTCTATTTTGAAGAAATACAAGAAACCAAAATAGGTGACAACAGGTGATTGTTCAGCAATATTCTGGTTTGCCCAATAGACTGAAATTAGATTGAGGAACTCTGGAGAGTACTCGATATTTACTCCCATTTACCATATAGCTCCTCAAAAGTTGGATGAAAGTAAGAAATTCACATTACTGGATTAGTAAGTTATTAGTCAGCTTAAACTCAGTAGATTAAATTTTTCTTCTGTACATTAGAACTATTAGTTCGCTTGGTAATCACATGAACTCTTTACGAGATTATTTAGTGCACTAACTATTCTGAGTGGACTACCTGTCTTATAAAACTGTTGGAAGATACTATAAGTAAGTCAACAGGAACTAGATAAAACTTTCATCGATAGATCACAATATGTGATCAACCTGATATTAAGAATAGTAATAAGGAAAACAACCAATAAGGCAGGATGGTATATACTACTGATTGGTATGAGTGTTTGATAGCCAGATAGAAATGATCAAGACATAAAGAACAGCAGTTTCGGTTGTTTGAAGTGAAGCTGATAACTAGTAAACAGTCTAATCCTGTAGCACAATCAGCAGAGATCTAGGCTGACAAGATAGAAACCACTCATTAGAATTCTGTAGTGAATAACATTTGTGGTTCACCGTCAACTGCCAATCCAAAACATTAATGATGAAAAATAAGCCACAGTCGCCTTGATGATGTCTACCTTTAGTCTTTTTTTCCTTCACGTTCCCAGTGGAACATAGGGCTTCAAGCTAGTGGCTTGAAGTTTCTGTAGCAGTGTTTATTTTACAGGATGGGGTTGCTAGCCTCATGCCCAACCTTTCCTCTTCACCAGCATTATTTCTGGCTTAGCGAGGTAAAGGAGTGCGTCTGTGGCCGGGGATCGAACCCCGGACCATGTGCATGGTCGGCGAGCGTCCTAACCGCTATACCACCGACTCACTCTACCTTTAGTCTAATAGGCTTCAATTAGCCAACTGCTTTGGATTGATGGCTAAAGTCATCGGACTTTTTTCATGCGATGTTGTAGGAAGATGGCCAATCTTTGCATTTATAATAAACACATAGATTCTACACAAACACAGACATTACCTCTGATTTATGAATTGTACTGTTACCAGGTAAAGTATTTAACCATTGATTAACTTTCCCGAAATTCTGTGATCTATCGATAAATCCATCAGATATTGGATTCCTTTGTAAATTAGTTAGTGAAACACGCTTCTGAGAAGAGGATAACATATTCGGTGAGATATTTGAATTTTTTGAAGAAGAAGCATAACGCGATAAACGCTTTCCCAAGTGTGAAGAGATAACTTCATCTTGATTTGCATCAACAGATTTTGGTACAGGCTTTTCTTTTATTTCTATATTTGAATTTTAAAAAAGAAATTCAAATGACTTTAACCGCCCACAAATCAGAAAGATAAGTCCATATGACCTGTAAAATTGAACAATTAAGTTGTGCATCTATTATGCATAGGGCTTATGAATTACACTGTCGACCTATAAGTGACTGCGACTATCACCCTTAGACACTCCTGAAGTCAAACTATCAAATCCCGCTACTTTGTGTCGTGGGCAACTAGCTGGGTGTTCAAGGAGCTTATGTACGTAAAGCTGTGTTGCCAACTACAAAGTACTTTGAGCGAAACCCTATTCTAGCATGTGAAACATCTAAAATGACTACGATATTAAGACTAACTTAGTGATAAAGTTTGCCAACTTGATATTAATTGATGCAAAGTTGAGTTCTCTCAAGAAAGAAATGAGGTTTCCTGTGGACTAAATTCTAACTTCCAAAATCAGACTACAACGTACCAGGGTAAGTAGAAGTGTTATGTTGCTTTTCTGAGTGACCACATCGTAAGTTAGATCTTTGAGGTATGGTCAATATCCAGCACCAAATAGTCACATTGGATACCACCCAGTGATCTGTTTTTTATACAGAGAAAATCATTTCAACAAACAAATCTTAATAACATTCTCAAGGTACAATATCCACTATTACCACTTACATCGTCTCTGTTCGTTCGGATGTTTTTCCGTTTCAACCTTAGAGTTAACGACGGTAACATATAAGATATATATTGTAAGGATGTTTTGATGTAGTTTATACATCTGGTAAGGATTAGAAGCTGAACCCAGGACACCTGTTTTGTCCTTTTTTAAACTCATTGGCCAGATGTACTTACATCACAGTAGTCTGCTGTTTCTACTGAGACATGAGTTGATCACTTCATACAGTAAAGCTCTTTTACCAATCTAATGATTGACAGAAATCACTTCTTTTACAGTAGATGGTTGCTTTTTTATTTGAAGTCTCGTTATCACTTATAGATACAACTTACATGACAGTTCTAGCTGACGAAGACAGTTCTAAAAAAAGTAATAAGAGAACAAAAGTTTCATTGGAAATCATAAGTCACAAGGAGTGGATGCATCTGCGCCAGCCATTGAGAACGATTTTGAGCCATGTCACCAATTGTTTCCAACCATTGGTTTTTACCGTCCCGAGGCCCAGCCAGGAAGTCTACACCTTCCTACGTGGCTTAGACTAACTGTTGTGGATTTCATTGACTGGTGCCATGTTTTCGTTTGACCACCGCTAGCTCTTTTCCAGCCTGACCCTATGTCAGCTAACATTGCCCGTCGAGGAAGGCGATGACTTCACTGTATTCTCATAAAAATACTATTGATCGATAATCATTAGCTAAAATGTAAACAATATCATTTCATATGACCAGCATCATAACTGATTTCGTTTACATTACTAAAAAGGCAGCATTTGGTTAAGATTTGAGGCTCGGAGAGTTCTTAAGAAATACAGTTGTTTAAAGGCACGGAACACTAAAGATATAAAAAACTTTAGGATATTATTACTGAGAAATAAAAGGAAAATTAATTCACTCTTAAGTAGTTCATAGCCCTATGTTACCCGTGAATTCGTGATTTATGCATGTACTGATATGACAAGCTTATTGGACAGTTTTGATTGGTCTATTTATGGCTTAAACTTCTGAAATTCTGTAAATATAATATATTGCGTATATTGTCTAATAAAAGTTGTCGTGGTTGTTTCAGTTGTTGTTCCGGTCATCATTTTTCCAGTCTGGCTTTTCTGTCTATCTCTGTGTGGGAGATAATTTCAAGTGATTATTTGGTTATGGCGTCGTGTTCTGGAAGCGCATTGTAGTCAGGTTAGACGAAGCCACAACACAGTATCACTTCGTCGAAGTAACACCACTAACCACTCGTAAAATTTGGTTTGATGTGAACCTAGTTCTGAAGCTTGGTCCCTAGGTTCTAATCTATTGTAATATGGATCTCGTCTGCACCTGGATATGTATCCCATCTGAGAAGCGATGGTTTGTGTCTTCAAATGTAACTTATGATGAGAACACTTGCAAATATCAGTTAACAAAATACTGAATTCCTTCAGCCATAAAATCACAAAAATCGAAACTACTGTTTCGATGGGCCGAGACAGTATTGTTTCGCGAGAACGTTCTTCAGGTTAGTGTAAACATGTTACTCAAGTGAGATTAGTGTGTCTTTTTGCCAGTTCCTGAGACATTTACACAACGTTTTTCTTTCTTTAAATCACTTGTAACTTTCTTCACTAATATTTCTTTTATCTCCAACTAAATGGCATCTTTCTAAACGTGGTAGATCAAGAGTAGGATTACTCGTTATACTAGTGCTCGTGTCAATTTTTAGATGAACAGATTGGAACACATTACCTGAGACTATAACAGTTTAGGTATGGGTTAAATAATCTGTGATGATAAAGTTATTTTAAACTATAGTCAAATGATATCTTAACCAGGTCAATTACCTCACACTTTAAAACAGTCTCAGTTTATGTAATTCACCTATTGATTGGAACCAGCACCCAGTTGTATAATACTGACAGTCTACAGACATCTTCCTACATTGATCCCACTGCAAATTTAGTAGTCCCAATGACAATCAAACTTACCAATACGAATAAGGTGAATAAAAAAAGAGGGAATGAATGGAGAAGAGTAAAATAAAACTCCTCACACATAAATCAGTATAAAATATTTCAGAATAAATAATGCATGTTTCATAAATAGAATATTAGATTTAAAATAAGTTATATAGTGTAAGAAAATTGTGAAGCCTTGCTTTATGTATCTTGCTTTTCCCTGTACTTCAGACAATATGGCTGATAATCTATCCCATCTGCGTTGATACGTCTACACCACATACTCACCTACATTTTGAAAATCCTATTTCTTTATAATAGTATTCCATGTTCTAATTAGCTTACTTGTAATTACTTGACTACTATGTGAATTGTATCTACCAGGTTTTCTTACTACGGAATTCTCCAAATGTCTACAAATGTTCAAAATGGATATCAGCATCTAGATTCCTTTTTTCTGTGCCTCTTTTCGTTTAATATAGATAGTAAGCTTTCCATTTGATAAAAACACGGCATCTTGCAACACTTTTTACATCAGGATCAACACTGAATTTTAGTGATTGCGTATGTGACTCCAATAAAAGTGCTTTCTTCTTAGCGTTTCAAACACAGTGCAACCACGTTTTGTCACAAAGAGTTTTGATTTATTTGCGTTCATACTAAAACCTGCGCTGAAGATGTTGTCTAGAAGAACAACGAAAGCTTCGCAATTATATCAACCAGCTTAGTGAACATAACTAAACCAAAACCATCCACCTGAGCTACAAATCTTCTCCGTTGTCACACAGAGTAAGAATCAGATTTACACATTTATGAAAAAGAGATACTTACTTGTATCTGTTGTACACTGGCTATTCGATCTATTCAATCGTATTACTGGTTTCACATCTAAAATCACCTTGGAATCGGGTTGACAGACACGAACAACTCTTTTAGGCGGGTTATAACACCTCAAACCGATTAGTTTAGATGAAGCGTTAGATTTAATTGTTCTTGGAGAGAATGGTTTAGGCTTAGTGAACTTCTTATGATAAATATCCATGATATCATTGCTAACTGACTGGCGTTGTTGCATAGTCTATAAATAGAATAAACAAAATATGACGGCATTGTAAAACTTTTTTGATTTACAGTCTAATTTATTGAACATAATAATTTCATCCTTGGTAAAGCTGATAACCATTTACTTGTCTGGTTACATACTACAACCGGTACAGTGAGAGTAGAAACGACTCTTAATTTTACCGATGCTTCATAGTAGTGATAACAGTTTTAAGACTATAACCGTAATACAACTTTTTTAAATGAATAATGAGAAAGAAGTATTCTTTTAAGCACTTCAATTTATCAAACTCAACGGTGCAGCATGCATCTATATAAAAAGCACCATAACCTATTTTCCCTAAATTTTGTTTTATATCATAAGTCAGTGTGTTCACACTACAGTCAATACTCTCGACCTTTAAGATGTTCCTGAATACTGTAGAGATAAAATGTGGAAACAACTTTTAATATGATTTAACAGTAAGACTCTGAATTATTCTAATGTTTGACTATGTATATTCACATATGATAAACAACGCAGAAATATTTCGAATAAAACCTAACGTATTGGCAATCAAAATTACCTCCAACCCTGTAAACATTCTGACATAAACCACTGTGCCTATTGACAAGATTATAGTCATGAGTAACGAACACTACAAAACTTATGCTGTTTTGAGTCTGAATGCCATGATGAGTTTTCTGACGATTATTCAGTGACAGAACATCTGGTCAATTCAGGACATTCAGCGCCATTCGAAAAATCCTTCAAAATAATATACAAGATTCGATCAAACCTATCAAAGGGGGTAAAATCAAGACATCTGAGCATAGCCGAGGCACTAGTTATCCGAAAGCTCAAATCCACGCTATGTATCCAAAAGAAATACGTCCAACCCTTGTCCCTGCCATGGTCATCATAAACAGATAATTCTTCTAATAGTGACTATCCCATTGCCTTTCTTATCCAAACTTCCTGTTTATTCATGTTATTTTATTATTTCTACATATTTAATCTCTAATTGCATAAACAATTATTCTTCACATTAATTATGATCCTACTAGATTTTTTATCCAAACATCCTGTCTATTTTGTTATTTCTACATTTCTAACCCCCAATTGCACAAATGTCAATCTTCTCAGTAATTATGATGCTACTTTGTTTGAGTTGTATCCGTCCCCCTGTTTATTATGGAATTTTAATTCCTAATTGTAATTTTATTAATTTGACCCTTGACCGGAAATTATTCTGAAACTTTCTCACACATGTAATACAAATACACGAATATACAGCCTAGTTGATGACTTCGTTGAAAAGAAAATTTTCTTCGCTGCAACCGTATTTTTGATTATTCATTAATTGCGCTTTATTTAGCTGAATAAATTGTCTAAAGTATCCCAACTAGAATTACGCTGCTAAAATTAGGGAACTGCACGAAACAAACATGATTCTATTACTTTGATTCATCGGTTCGTTCGCTGTTATGGTTGATATTACTCCAGTAGACCCAAACATTTAGTACAATTTTCATCGAAAATACATGCCATATTTTGCCTAAGTCTTACATATTTAGAAGAATAAAAATTTACTTTTTGGCCTCTTTGCTTTCAGGATTGTTTTGTTTTACAATCGTACTACTTCTTTGTCACTGGCTTTTACTTCGTCGGGTCTTTCTTACCAGATGGCAGCGCAAAACGATCAATGGAAGGGTTTCATCCTTCAGACGTTTGGCATTACAAACATCAAACACAGTAAAATAAAAAGCAACTTCAAACGTGAAAAAAGAATCACGTTACTAATAGACTAAGGTGAACCGAATTAAACAGTTCATTAAAAGCCAGTTGCCACAAACATTTTACGCCGTATTCACTGGGATCGAACTCCTAAGCTGCATACAAGATTTATCTTAAAAATAAATAATTTGGCACACAGGACATAGGTCAATTCTTAGTATATCCATCAGAACTTCCAAATGTTTACTTTACTAATCCACATATCGTTAACGTGTTTTTTGCTTCTACTTATCATTATTTTTTTAAAGCAGTAAAGTTGAGTGCTCAGTTCGCAACTTATATGATCATTCATGACTATTCTATTCACTTCAAATATTCTGTAATGCATTTTCTGGCAGCTCAGTGCTCACTAATCCTACCGGATGACAACTGAGTTTTTTTCAAATCTTTATTTTATTTATTCCAGTAATTTCATGAATTCATACCTCTTTTTGAGGACCTTTCATCAGATGCATTAGAAAAATAGGTGTGGTAATATTTTAATACTTACAGTTGGCGGTATATGATACGTATAATACCTCAAGGCACGATCCCACAGTCAGTGCTACTTCTACCATTCTTTAGTGATTTTACTGAACCTCATAAAAATATCTGCATGATTAGGTGTGAGTGACGCCAAGACATGAAGATTACAGAAATAAATAAAAATTCGGGAACAAAAAGCAAAAAAGGTATATTCATCATATATTTCTGATATTTCTACAGAAACTGAAAGCAGTGATCAAGGAAGATTTCTGAAAATTACCTCAGTTCTACGGAGAAGTCTTAAAACATAACCACAGAGAAGGCTGTATTAAAATATAGTGAACCTCTTCAGAAATCAAGTCCTCACCCATTGTAATATCTTCAAAAACGTTTACTTGATATTCATGCTTTTGGGAAGACCTGAGCCAACTTGTATCCAGTCTCTGCTCCCTGTCTGACAGACCAAAGAGAACATTATAGTAGGAAATTTCAAAGGTCAGTACCAAACACTGACACTGCAAAACAGTGGGTTTAAATAGCAACTAATCAATTACTGCGATCACTTAAGCTTGATCATCATGCTTAGACGTCGTCCGTAGGGCATTTAACATAACAGCACATTGACTTATCGTGAATGAGTCAAAATTTCAAAATCCAAATTAGTGTTCACTTTAAATAATAGTGTCCTTGTCACACCTAGGATCATTTACTGACTGCCTTATTTGTTCTATTAATGACCTGAAAGTTATTATGAGTCAGTGTTCGTCATATGTAGAAAATTCAAAGCAATACAAGATTGGGTTATATCTAAGTATAAAAGAAAATCTGTTGAAGTAGTCTTTACATATTTTAGCTACACATTTGGTGAGCTATATCATACAAGTCTGAATATGAGACTATAAATCTTTGAATTATCAGCAGTATACTTAGTTAAATAGGAGAATTTTCTGTCTGTGGCGGCCAGAAAGTATGGACTTAATTTAAATTCCCTACCTTGTCGACAGCACAAAGAATTATTCTGAAAGTATGCCGCTTGTCTCCCTACTTGTCGTTTGCTCTTGATTTTAATAAAATGCACTAATTGAATGAATCTCACATGGCTTATATTCTGGGGAATTTTAGGGAGAAAATGAACTTGCATCAACTTCAAATGAATCCTGGCAGTTTAATAAGTCAGTTAAAAGACTGGCTGATTAACCATGAGTGTAACTTGAGTGCATATTCGAGAACATTAAGCACGAAAGTTGCACCGCCTACTACATTCAGGAAACACCTAATTCTTTAAATCCAGATAGTGATTCCCTGAAAAGTAGACCCAGCTAAATATCCTTCGTTAAACTGGAAAGAGTTCGAGAGAGAGTCACAATTATTATCCTTTGTTAAATTGGCTTGTCATATGCGGAAAGACTGAATGGATAATCTGTTTGACTGTGGTACACTTAACTCTTAATTAAAATACTCTTTAAATATATTCACCATGCTCCTTTTAAATCCAGGGGCACCTCAACCCAGATTTAATGATCCAGGCATAGTTGAAGCACTATATTTATCAGGGATACCAAATTATCATAACTTCACACTGATTTTTTGGATTAGCAGAGAATATTAACGATTCTGCAGTTTATTATGACGTATGTAGATCAGATTCACTAAAGAGTTGGTTGGTGGGATTGAAAAAACTTGTGCTTGGGGGTGAAATTGGAGTAAATAATGCAGTGCTAACATAATGAAATTTTAGATAATACAAATATGTTCCTGACTAACTTTGTTGCTGTAACAGTCTCCTTCCAGTCTCCGAATGCTAGCAGAAACACCATCCACACAACTATATTTATCGCAGGCGTTTTCGCCACCAGCATTCAAAGACTGATCTTCACCAAATCTGAGCGGTTCTACATACTTCTCGTCTCCGTCAAGTAGAAATCTTCGCACAATCTGGTCGACTTCAGGATCATCTGAGAACGTATTTACCTAATGAAATGATGTAATATTGCTGCATATTACCATAGCTAAATTGCAGAAGCTATTTGTTTCTGGTCTACTAGAAAGAGGTCTTCTATGGACTCTAGATGATTTTCGGTAACCCCTAGCTGAGAAATAAGAAAAAAAGTCAACTCACTAGTTGGGTTGCTGAAATACGAATATGGTGTTGAATTGTCAATACATGCTGCAGAATATCATATATGGAAAGTGTTGTTTACCTTTAGCAGACTGAATATTTCTGTAATGGGCATCCAAATGCTGTTTTATTAGAATCTGAGAAGAAACTTTGCATTTGCGGGGAAGGACCTCTACAGATTTCGTAAGTTCTACTTCAAAACGGCCAAATTACCAGTATGTCCCTGTAAGATGTCAAAATTACTTTGGGAAGCAACAGTTGCATTCATTATACGATGTTAACTATGGCGCGTGGTTAGTACCCCTCAGTGCATCTACGGACGCCCAAATCGATTGACTTAAACAAACTAGTTATTCTCAATGTATGATTGCCATTTCTGTCGGTGGTGGCAGTGCATTTAATAAGAAAAACTCATCACCAGTTTTATAGAACCTCATAACCAGTTTTCACTAATTGGCCGCTGATTATTAAGTAAAAATAAAATGTGGAACATTATCCAAGTTGTGTAGGAAAGATAAAAAACAGTCATAGAAGATGACAGGATAAGAAACGAATATTAACCAGTAATACTCGTCACTATCTAGGTAATAATTATAGATTTTGTACAACACTCAGTATGCGGCTGTTGCATTTGTTCTACTTAAGCCGACTGACCGTATAAAAGTGAACTTGCTTCTCACAGAAAATAATTTATTACGACATCCAATATCCAATATCCAATATCCTGATTACGAGCTAGTATAAACCAGTGATTTCTTTGAGCTCGCCTCTTGATTTTAAGGTAGAGGTTCCAGATCTTCGGTGAACTTATGCGTAGTAAATCCCGCCACTCGACTGCTTTAGCTCTGGTAGACTCCAGGAGGAGTGATGCGAGGATTGGTCAAGATTGTGGTTTGTAGTGTGCAGTATGTTAGGACTCAGCTGCTGCCGTGAATGGAGTTTGACCTAACACCCGTTGGTCATTCGGTATAGTCATAAAAGTAGAGTAATAATAATAATAATGATAATGATAATAATAGGTTGTAGTGTAGATAATATAGGTTGAGATAAGTGAAATAATAAAGAAAGAAAGAAAAGATAGAGTAGTCGGTACAGTGGGAGAAGACAGGACGGGTCGTGGGGATTTAGCTTGTATGCTTATCCATTGACAATGTGGTTTCAAATTTTAAGAGGGTAAGCCATTGAGACACAAACCATGCATTTCTGCATGATTGTCCAGCTTCCGCTTAAAAATCTCCACAGATGGAGCTGTAGTTACGGCCGCCGGTAAAGCGTTCCAGAGACGGCAAACTCGAAGCGAGAAGAAATGTGAACGCACTCGAGTCCTTGGTCTCTGGTGTGCTATCCTTAGCGGGTTACCTCGTGGAAGCCTATAATCACTTAATGGCAGGATGCTCTTATCAGGATGGGCCTGGTCATTTAGGATCTTATAGACGGTGATGAGGTCTCCCCTGTGACTACGGTAACTAAGTGTGAAAAGACTTAATTTCTTCAGTCTCTCCTCATATGATTTGTTGCGGAGGCCGATCACCCATTTTGTCGCTCGTCTCTGGACACTTTCTAGCATGTTAGCATCCCTTTTGAGTAGCGGAGGAGCAATGATATTATGCACCTCAAGGAGTGGCCTCACGTATGTCGTATACAACGTTAGGAATAGTTCAGGAGTAAGAGCTCCCAGTTGCCTATGCATAAAGTGTAAAGTGCCGTAAGCTTTGGCGACGTCCCTCGTGTAATTTACACTGGTGTCTAGCTTTTCTGTTAAAATAAGGCCTAGATCGCGTTCTGATGGCACACAACTCAAGTTCTGGCCACCAAGGGTGTAATTTGCACTCTGTGACCTGCCGGAATGAAGTTGCACTACTTTGCACTTCTTTAAGTTGAAAGGCATTCCGTTAGCCAGAGCCCAGTCCCCCAGCGTTTGCAGGTCAGCCTGCAATCTGTCGGAGTCTTCCGATGAGTTTATTGCTCTCCAAATCTTTACGTCGTCAGCGTAAAGAAGCGCAGAGCAATTCAGTTGACAGGGCAGGTCATTGATAAAAATCAAAAACATCAACGGCCCTAAGATAGAACCCTGAGGAACCCCTGATGCCGAGGTGTACCAGGATGATCGGATGCGGTTGACTTTGGTGCAGAATTCTCTCTCGCCTAAATAATCTTCCAGCCATGCGAGAAGTGCTCCAGAAACACCCGCTTTGCTTATTTTGTGAAGGAGCAGACCATGGTGAACTGTGTCGAATGCTTTCGCAAAGTCGAGAAAGATCACATGGACTGGTACCTTTACATCCCAGGATAGTGTCCAATCGTTCCAAGCTAGTAGAAGATTCGTCACACAGGATCTTCCCTTCCTGAAACCATGCTGTGCTTCATGGAGTAGGTTAGTCCCGTCGAAGTATTTTCTCATGTGGTCGTCAATGAGACTTTCCAATATCTTCGATATCACTGGGAGTAGCGCAACTGGTCTGTAACTGGTCGCGTTCTGCCGGTCACCACCCTTGAAGATAGGGGATAGGATGGCTCGTTTCCATTCACATGGAAGTTTCCCTACATCAAAGGAGTGTTGAAACAGATCACTTAGGGGTTGGCAGAGACTTTCTGAACACTGCTTCAGGACGGATGGTCTTATGTCGTCGCAACCTGCAGACTTTCCCGAAGCCAACTTTCCCAATTTTATGAGTACCATAGCCGGGGTAATTTGAAATGTACCCAGCAGGTTTTCGCACGTTGGTCTTGCATTGTAATCTTGATGTTTTGTGAGGGTAAAATCCTCGTTACTGTTCAGTTGCCTGTGAAAGGCTAGACTGAATGTCTCTGCCATTTCAAGACTAGTAAGAGATTTCCCATCAGAACCAACTATATTGCAAGCTCCCTGGTTGGTCGGTTTTCTTTCAGACATAAACCTGTATAGGCTTTTGGGGTTCACGAGAAGCTTATTGGCGAGGTTTCTCTGAAATGTCCTTCTATCACTCCGGACTCGTATGTTACACCGATTCCTGAGTTCGAGGTACTCTTCATGTTCGGGTTGACTCTGCGATACTCGCCACGCAAACCAGGCTTTTCGCTTCGCCTGTAGAAGGCGTTGTGTCCCCCTTTTTAGCCATGAACGTTGCTTTCTAGCTTTAGGTGTGACCAAAGGAACAGTGTCTGAGATCGCCTGGTGAATGATCTCCTTTACCACTCTCCAGTGTTCTTCTACTGTAAGCTCTGTCCAATTTTTTGGCCAATTTGCTTCAGACAAAAGTCTTCGCATTTCGGTGTAATTGGCTTTGTTATAACACAGATAGGGCTGTGTATTGTCCCACTGTAAACGCTCGCGGAGGACTATGTCGAATGTTATGACCGCATGGTCACTACTACCTATGGGGGTCGTGATCTGAACGTTTTCCACTAGTAGCTGGTCACTAGTGAGCACGTAATCCAGTCTAGAAGACTTCCCATCTGGGCCCCATCTAGTATCCATTCTGACATTTTCGGTGAATCCGGCCTCCGTGATGGTATGCAGCAGATTTCGATCAAATCTGTCCTGGGCACATCCCGTCATCAAGTTAAGAGATGGGGCATTGAAGTCTCCAGCTATGACAATTTGATCATAACCCATGTCATGTGTCGCTGAAATTGTATTCAGCAGTACCTGGTTGTGGTCTGCTCCACATGAAGGTGATCTGTAAATGCTGCCCACTAGATACTTACAGTACCCAACGGTGAAATGGCACCATATGGAGTCAGGGAGCTCAATGAGGGGAGGGTCAATTGCATGGACACATCTGAGCTGTTTGTCGACGTATATGGCGACTCCACCTCCTTCTTTCAGATCCCTATCTCGCCTGACAAGGACCATATCATTTATACTGACTTCGCTGTCTGCCACCGTAGGGGTTAGCCAGGTTTCCGTCAGTATTATGATTTTGGAGTTCAGCTGTGATTGTAGGTATCTAAGTTCAGCTATTTTGCCTCTTAGACCTCTCACATTACTGTACAGGCAACTGGTAGTCAGTCTCACCACGTCCCCGTATTGGGGGGTGGTTGACGTGATGTGGGCTGTCGGTTGAGGAGTTATCCTACGAACTAGTTGGCCGATTCCCCGGGAACCGGCCTGTTGGAGTTTTTTTCTTCTGATTCAATCGGAGCACTTGGATGGCACTGGCTATCATCGTCCGTGCTGCACCGCTGTATTGTGACTAGGGGTTGGGGATGTTCTATGACAACGTTTTGCTCTCTCCTTTGGGTACGAGGCCGGCTCTCGCAGCAGCGAATGTGTCTGCTGACCTTGTCTTTGGTCTCGTACCATCTCTGGAGAGCAGTAGTCAAGTGGTCTCGGGAGCTAAACTTAACAGCTAACAGACGTGGGGTGTTAATTGACATTAGGTGAGTGGGTCGAGGCAGTCTAAAAATAGAGACAGCCCCTGAACTTCCCAGACCCATCTGGGATGCCAACCATCTCCATTGCTGGACATCGTGACAGTGCTTCTCACAAGCGTTCCCAGTTTCCAGTTCAGGAATACCGTGAACAACCATGGAGGCAGAAGGAATAAGCTCTGGCGACTCCCTCGCCATCTGTCTTTCCTTCCATGGCCTATCTGGCCTAACACGTATATTGCAGGTCCTCCCTATAGAAAGGACTTGGGAAGTCAATAAAACTTTTTCGGCATCTTCGGCAGAGCCTAGTGTTACCCTCAGTGGGGATGGTTTGCCTTGAGGAGCAGCAGTGCCCTTATACAATCTGCACAGTTTTACTGGTTGGATGTCCAGACCCAGTGTGCTACATAAGTTGGACCACTGTTCCTGATCAAACAGGGCCCTGTTTTCCAGCAGACTACTGCTACAGTCTGGTACATTAAAGAGGATAACGCAGTTTGATCTATTAACCGTGGATTTAGGTTCGGTCCTCGCACATTTGTCATCCCCCTTAAGACCGTTTTGTTTCATCTGGTGCAACTGGGTATTATTATGTGTCGCAGTGCTGTGGCCACTTTTACTGGTGGACGGTAAGGGTCTTTTCCCGGCGACAGGTACCCTTGGTGCTTCAACCTCTGTGTCTGGGGCAGTTATGGCAGGAATTGCAAGTATAACCGGTGTGGATTTTGGTATCCCCGATTTACATGCAATTGTGCTGTTTTCTGAGTTGGTGGGAGTGAAACGTTTCACGTTTTTTCCTGATATCTCTATGACATCTGTAGCTTTCGAGGAACTACACGAGGCTGCATTAGGACGGCAACTTGGGCAAATGTACCAGAACCATGGGCATGGGTTCTTACGCATAAAATCGTAATATACCTTTGGTACTCCGGTGTCACATCTACAATGTACCCATTGCTTACAAAAGTTACATTCGAAAGCAGAGTCTGCTTGTTCGACAATAGAATTGCAGACCTTGCAATCGTCTGCCTTCTTGGGGAACGTTTTCGTCGTCTTGCGACGTCGTGAACGTTTCTTATTAGCCTTCCTGTTTGTTTCAAGGCCTACTGTGGATATAGGTGTCATACTATTCACCTGTTTGCTTAGTTTGGCTGAAGCTCTGGTGACTACGGTGCATGGTCTCCCATTACTTATCTTGGGATGAGAATCTATAGTCATTTTACTCCTAAAATAATACCGATGATTAAATGATAAGAGAGAGTGGAGTTTTGTCCAATAGACTGACAGCAAAAGACAGTAGAAAGCACAGAACAGAAAGATAAAGTATATAAGTAAAAGCTTTTGACTTTACCTGTAACTTTCGGGTTATTCGGCTTCACAACAATCACGTAACAGACCAACAAGTCCTGTATATTTGAAAGAGTGAGGGGGATGTTGCTACAGAAGTAGCACCTGAAGCTTGGGCAGTGGTTCGAGACAGTGGGAAGTACCAAACACAGGCTCGGTGAAGAAGAAATGGTTGAATAAAATTCGCCGGATAGGAAGATCAGGTTTCCCAAACGAATTATTCACAAAAGTGGATATTTCCTGTTAGACGGAAAAATGCACGTCGTATTCAAGGAGCGCGCGTGATGTTTTTTCATATCAGAGTGTTAGTGTGTTTCATTCATGTTAACTCGAACAGAGACTTAGTTTGACGTAAAAATGTCAAACATTCTCAACAAGACCTATTTTCAACCAATACCTGCTTAACAGTTCTAATGGAGTTCAGTTACTACCTTCACGTACATATGGAGATTGCGATGCATTAGTAAGGGTGTAGTGATGAACGTGAGTTAATTTACAACATCAGTTACGTTATATGGACCAACAGTAATTTAATTCATTGGTAATAGAGGCAGTCGTATACGTGAGAAAGTTGTACCAGTTTCGACCGACTGCCAACTGACGAAATCTTAGAATGAGAACATGCGAGTCGTTTTACATTCGCAAAACTGGATTTACCTCTGAAGTTAATAAGATATATTATTGTTGATTAACTTTAAAAGTTTACTGCACAGAAGTTCGCTGTTTTAATTTAATGCTCGAGAAATGACAACTGAAGATGAAAAATGAATATGGAATACACAAAATACGATCACACTTGTCTTATACGCATTGACAGTACAAACATGAGTTACTGAATGAGAAATTTCGAAGCTAGATGCACTGCACTTACATACAGAGGTAACCCAGTGGATTGGATTATGAGTTTGAGACAAGTGCAGTAGCTGAGATACGATTTATCCATGTCAAGCTATTGTCTACAGCTTGAAATCGTTCTCAATGGCTGGCACAGATGCATCCACTCCTTGTGACTTACAATATCCAATAAAACTATATTTATAGGTTTCCAGGCCGTAGGTGTTACTAACTTCCTGGAATAATTTGAGCGCCGAGTCAGATTGATTCATTATAAATTATTTAAATTAATTAACCATATTTTTCTTCTCATATCTTTGTTTTGAATCTCTTCTTACTCTCTTCTCTTGCTTTGTGTGCTAAGTGAAGTGTGGTAACTCTAACTGCTGCACATTGGTGCAAAGTTCTACGTTGAAACCAGTCAGTCAGTCAGTTTTAGACTCGGGCACTGTGGTAGAGTATAACTCCATTATAGATAAGATTTCATTTTAATAAATCAAACAGTGTTGTACAGTAATATTAAGTGATGACTTTTCGAGTTGTATGAGTGACTTGATGTGATTATGAGCAATAATTTCAGCCCGAAACGTCATCAGTTAATATTACTGCACAACATTTTGTGATTTATCAAAATAAAATCTTATCTATAATGCAGTAAGTCAGTGTCTAACAATAATATAAACCAAATTCAAGTTGACGTGAAAGACAACTAAGGGTGGCCAGAAGGAAAATCATTCAAAAACGAAGTTTTCGAATACCTGTCAAAACATCAAACTTTTCGAATGGAATCAAAGTGATACTGAGAGTAAGTGGTTGAGAATTATTGTATCAATACATCCCGCACTGTCAACACAAAGTTGATGATAAGGCTGATTATTATTCCCCTGAGTTCAGAGTAAAACAAGGTTTCAGTAGCACATTCCCATTTCATACTTTTTTCTACAGTCTTTCTTAGTTGGTTTCACAGTTGCCCATAAGGTCTCATCTACTCACACGATCTCTTCCATGTCACTCTTCGAAGTACAACTCGTCGTTTCCCACTTGGGTTCCACTCAACGGCCTGTATGGCGTGTGACATCACGCAACCATCTCGTTAGTGTCTGTCCGATCCATCTCCATTTCCTTCAGAAAACTTTTCGAGCGATAGGTTCTTGGTTAGTTCGTTGCTAGAGTTCATAGTTGCTAATCCTTTATGGTTGACTATTTGATCTTTAGCTTTGACGGGAGGAAGTTGTTGAAGAAAGTCTGCACCAACCCGTTGGTAACAGGCCAAGTCTCCGAACCATATCGAAGAACAAACTTAATATTTAGTGTTGAAAATATAAATCCTCCGTATGCTGAGTGCAGTATATTTCCACACTGATTTCAAAGTAATCAAGAGCTGTATTGCTTTTAAGATCCTGGTTTTGATATCTTAATCCGTGGCGCCACTAGTTGAAATGATGTTGCCTTGTTAAGTCAGAGATGTTACCTCTTTTAGACTGACTATCGTTGTTGTTAGTTGGTTATCTGCATCAACTCTGCCTTCTCTACGTACACTTGAAGTTTTGTCTTTGCTGCTTTTTCTGTCAACCCGTTGTTTGAGATTTGAACTTGTATCTTTTAGTGTTATCAAGAAGCCTTTTAGTCAGCGATAAGTTTTAGATTACTCTTACAAGGCAGTGAAGATTACATCACTCACATGAGTGGTGATACGGCTTTATTTAAAATATAAAAGCAAACAAACAATTGCTACTCAGATGACTACCTCAAGTAATACTGTCCCTAAAAACACTGTGGCCTAAGTATCATATAGAAAACATTATGAAAATTCTGTCTGAAAAATAAATCGAAGAATCTACTGTGCTGGGGATTGAATACTCCGCATCTAATTTCCTTCTTAGAAAAACATACCCGTAAGGAGATATTTTTCAGTTTCAGTAATAACCAAAAAACAACAATTAAATTGCAACAACAGTAGAACTTACACGTCCAAAATGAATTTCAATGGTGTTCATAACATCTTTGTTTGATGGTAGGTGTAAGACATCATTTTCTAGCTCTTTTGACTTTGGAATAAGATCATTAAGAAATCGATCGACAGCAATTATCGATGCGAGTTTCTGATCCACACATTCCAAGACAGTTCCATACTTCTTCATGGTGGCATTGAACTCCTCCTCCATAGTTCTCACTTTATCACAAGTAAGTAACTTTAAGTTTTGAACAAGTGATGTTTATCACCATCAAACTAGGTCAATTAGCATAGTACCTGAAACACCGGAAAGCACACTTTAATACTGCCATGTGAACTACCAGTGTTTGGCCACATCGATGCATGTCGTGTCAGGAAACTTCAAAACCCTCAGATCCTACGTTTCAGCAAATGCTACATTATGCATTCAACGTTAGTAAACATGTGCTACGCTTTTCAAACTTTTAATCGTTTAGTTCTTAGTGGTAATATATTACACTGTTAGTTTTCATTTCCACAGCCCGCTGATTGAACAAAGTTTATGATAAGGTACTGTGTCCTGCCATTCTCAAGTAAGAGATGTTTTATTTTTTAGCTTGCGAATGTAACTACTATTTTCAGTTTCACAATGACACCTTTCTAACAATCGAATGATCGTATATGTCCTCCTAATGCACTGCAGCTAAGAAACTCCCTTTTACCCTGAAACGGAATTGATGCGAAACTACAATGGTCGTATGCAGAAATTGTAAAAACTCAGAATGAATTCAGGGTCTTTTCACAAGTAAATCATGGTAATGTGTCTCTAACTCCATCTATCCAAACGGAGGAATCTCGTTTAAAACCACAGAAGCCTAAAAACTTGTTAGAATCTGCCCCAAGTTTTAATCTTAATAAACTTCACCAACATAATAATTGCCGACAGAAATGAGGTGCCTGCATTATACACACATGTAATATATAAATTTTTGATTTCAGATATGGTAAAAATTAGACAAATGATACTTTGCAAGCATGCATTAGTGGCAGACGCTGTCCTCACAGTGAAGGGATCAAAGAAGTTCCTCAGATGAGTTTTATCTGGGCCACTTTGCCCTCATCAGTCAATCTATTTATCTGTGAGAACTGAAACACATTGCGATCATTTGGGTTTCCAAAAGACGGGCGCGTGGCTGTGTATTTGTGGTGTGATTGTATACCTCTGCACTCTCTTCATACCATTATTAATATGTACATCCTTGAATAGCCGTAAGAGTTATTTTCTCCTTTGTCTAGTTGTGGCGGTGTTAAGAGCAGCCGGACTACCAGGCTAGGTGGGCCAGACTAAATAGTCAGTGGGTAGTGAGGAAAAACCTTCGATCTGGCGGCATAGGTGGTCACATGGCAGCTGAAGACGACCGAAAGCTGACAGCAATAAATTGTGCTGGCAACGTCATCAGTAAATATTACTGCATAAAACTGTGAGGCTTTATCAAAATAAATTTCACACACAACGGAATTATACCCTACCACAGTGCACAAGTCCTATTCTTATGTGCAGGCGACGAGTACTTGGCAATAAAATCTCCCGGCTGACAGAAAACTGTCACACTGAAATATTCGTTTGAACCACAACACTATGTCATCTCAGCCCTCAAACGTTAGCAAATGCATCAAGAGGCGTTGTTGCATAAAGCCAGCTGAGTGCTAAAGAGTGGGTACAGTTATTGTAAGCATCCGCTCATACTGTTCCTGTATTTCACAATGCAAGACATTGATGAAATTTGTCCTCGTTTCAAGAATGATGTATTTCTCAACCTCTGTGCACCTAGAGTCAAGCTGCCGTTGGCTTGCCATAAGGAATGAACGTGAATAGAAAATTTTAGGTGACTATAGTCTATATTAGGATGCGACTAATTTCTTAACTGGTCAGATATGCACACAATATAAATGGCCTATTAACTAAAAGTAATTTTATGGACAGTCGCACATGAACCTAAACTCCCTCGATCAAACTCTTTCTGGGAGAATTTAGAAATAAGTGTGTTTACCAGGGGACAAACACGATGAGTTTATGATTTCGCATATAGTCTGTTCTTGTCTGTCATACATTTTGGAATCAACTTACTTTTAATTGCTTGTTATCAACTGTATAATAAATTTTGAGGAGTGGCTTTATTGAACACGCCCGCTATTGTAGCGTTGTAGTCCGTTGCTATGATGGTCTAATGACGATTCATACTTTCCGAATGCTTTTTAAGCGAAATGGTGCACTGAAGCTTTTTTTATGGCATAAGTACTGTCGGTGTCATTGTATTTACTGGACCGCGTTACACTCTCTGCACTCTTACCGGAAAATGCTGCTTGATGCTGATATTTGCTAGAAGTAATGAACTAAAGGAGGCAGTAGTTTCAGAAGTTAAACTTATATTATTGAATTTTCATGAAATCATACTGGTATATTTTGGCCTATTTATTTACACTACTTGATGCCCATCGGATAAAGGTGGCGACACTCCAAAAGTGGAATATGCCACATAATGTCTGGATTTTGCGGTCCATATATGTATATAAAGATACACAGTCATCATACTTTGTGTGCTGGTTAAATGAACACTGAACCCAAAATATACCTGTCTGTGTATTCATATTGATATTTTAAAACTGAATCATCCTCCGATCAGGTTTTAATATCACAATTATATAAGCGATTTTATGGCTCCTAGTTGACCACTGAATTCGCACTGTCCGGTGAAAGTTGATTTGGTAGTGCTTGCGCGATGTTTTGGAAAGAGGTGCGCGTATTGGAGTCGCGTGTATAATGGTTACTCGTTCTGTCTCCTCAGGCAAAAGAAAATCTTGGATATCCTGTTTCAACTTCATGTACTTTGGAAGCTAAGAAGATGCAAGATACTGCTGGAAACTAATTTCATGTCGTGATTCTTCATCCTGGGATGTTATTTGGGATATACATCTTTTTGGGTGTGACGGAGTACTCAAGTGTTTTTTGCTATACGAACTTCGGAATTATAGAACCGAAGGATCTCTGTCCAACGTGCAGAAGATGATCGGAAAACTGGGGACACTATAACGAGATATTCCCTTGTGGCTGTTTCACGTCAGTCACCAAATAGTATAGAACTTGCAACGTAAGTATAACGTATTTTCCATCGATGTCGACCTTAATGTTGCACTTAAACTCTGAAGAAATATGAATGTAAGAAGTCAGCAGAATGGGATGAACAACACTCCACATTTTCCAAGGAGCCAGTCCACTGGTTTTCACCTCTGTTTTACCATAACTATTTTAACGGGAGGATGTAGACGTCACTTCCATACAAGAACATTAGTTAAAAAAGCTGCTGTTTTGATGTGTACAGTCGACAGTTTAGCTAAATCGGTGTTTTTAGAATTTTGTGACACCTCCGAAACTTGTTTAGGTAGTGAAAATGCTACATAAAATGATGAGGATTTTATGTTGACAGATTTCATTAAAGCGCCTGATAATTTATCTCCTAATAAACTCTGTGTAAAAAACTGGAAATTTCATAAAAATTATTAGTAGTGCTTGAAGTTTCAAACCAGTTTGTACCGGGCAAAGGATTAATTTTAGATTACCGCTTAAAAACTACGACAGTGCTACTCACAATCCAGTATCACAAAACACTCCATATCCTAGATAACAGCTTTACTAGTATTACCAGTAGTATGTTTAGTACAGTATATAAACAGAGAGCTCGGTCCGATTAAAATCTTATAATAATATAGTTTCGCGTAATCTGGTAAGTTTACATGAAAAGCATGCCATTTTTACAGGCACGATCGGTTATGTTATAAATTACAATCGTGAAGTATCATAAATTAGCACTTTTTCAAAAGTTCAAATTGTTGAATTATAGTGCAAGCAGTCAGAACAGGTTCGTATAAAGGTTAAATTGTAAAGCTTTCACTAAGTTCAACGTCAAGGTTGACTACCAACTCGAACTTCTTTCCGTTGACTGCTGATAGCTATGGCCAACCGATAAACAACATATATTTGGGTAAGTGCTATGCCCTCACGTGATTAATAGCTATTTAATGAAGAGGAAAATGTCCTGGGAAGCTGCGAAATGGTATAAAAATTATGGATAATACATCATTGGAAGTACATTTATAAGATATATATGACAAGGAGCTATAAAGTCCTTGGAATGATAGCATGCATTTGCAATGTTAAATGCTAACCATATTGGTCACACCAAGGAAACTATGACATTTTTGACGAAAATATAGTTATTCTTGTTATGCTTTTTCTTCCATTCACCACAGGAAAATCTTACCTACAAGACCTAAAAAGAAGAAGGCGTATGGCTACCCGTACTGGTTGCCCATCATATTAGGACTTAAAAGTGTTGGTTTGCAGGGATATAACTAGTTGCGAGATTTCATATGGACAGCTGTCCAGTACACCCAAGTTTTCTCGTGATTCTCTAACTGATATCAGCTCGTGATGAAGTCCTGCAAACCAACACTTGAATATCAGTCTGATGCTCACTAGCGACCGGCACTATTCAGGCAGGTAGTTACCTGGTTTCTAGTGCAAATTCGTGACCAGTGGGGTAAAGAAGTTCGGCCGTGGGGACATAATCGCCGAAGACATTGGCTAGTGGTCACACCATATCATGAATCAGCAGAAGTTAGAATTCATGTACTAGCCATTGGATCGGGTCCTAGTGGCTTTATGGTCTACGGGCTCGCCTTGTAAGCAGAATGTCCTGGATTCTAACCCTGGTGGTGGGTGCCCGCCGCTGAGGAGTCCCAAACTGGACCGACGAAACGTCTGGCTGTTCAATACTCCCTGTAGGTTTTTCAGTGGTTCCCTAACCTATGTCTGCTCATGTTGTAATCCTGTAATATATGAGGATATGTTTTCTTTCTTATACTATAGGCGATGCGAAGGTTTAGTAGTGATGTGCAGAGTTATGAAAGGTGGATTGAGTCTTTTTACACATTCCACTTTCTCCACCGGAAGCACAATAACCCAGCGTTCACAAAAGAAGCGAAGAAAACACCGGGAAAAATATATTGTCGTACAATATATGTTCTACTGTGATACATAATTTGAAAACCTCGGGATAAGGCATATAAATCTTTTAAGGCGAATTCATTAAATATTTGAATGAATAAGTGAAAAACAGTGGAGACACAAGGATTGGTATGTGTGTGATCCACCTACAATCAAACATTTAAAAGTCTCACTTCGAGCTCTGCTGAAGGCGCACAGAATTTAGTATTAGAGAAAGTTTAAATTTAAGCACCATTAACTGCCAATCAGCAAATGACCTCGAGAGCATCAATAACGTGAAGGAAGCACTTTTGTTTATGGAACAAATATATTTATGAGCGAAATACATAAAAACTGTATAAAAGTGCTACAGAGGATGCCTTCCCCTCACATGTGATCAAAATAGCTCTCAGTTTTAGGTTGGAATGTCAACTGAGTGTAATTCCATTATGGGTAAAATTTATTGTGATAAAGTCTCATAGTATTATACAGTAATATTTACCGAGCAAGAAATTGTGCTCGAAACGTCACCAATAAATATTACTGTATAAAACTGTGAGAATTCATCAAAATAAATTTTACCCGCAACGGAATTATACTCTGCCACAGTGCCAGGTTCTGTTCTTATATTAACAGAGTAATTTAACCACATTCTGTGCTTGTAATCATTTAGGTCTTCTAAACCTAACAATAATCCTAATCTTTCCGGAACCTAACCCTAACCTAAAAATATCCCTAAACTAACTGTAATCTAACTAGAACCAACTCTAATATCGCCTTTATTAGGTTAACCTAACCCTAACTTGTCTTTGGCTTGAAGCGCAACTTAATCTTTCCCGAACCTAAGCTGAAACTTCCCAGATATCCCATTTATTAGCATTACACTTCGATGAGCATATATATTGTTGATGACGACAGCATTATTTCCCAGGTTTTACTAACTTGCTGAGTGAGCGTTTCAAGGTCACTGGAGCGGTCACAACCCATTGTTAGTTAGTGGTGCTTAAAGTTTAACTTGGCTTATTATTTTCTCAAGTCCTGCACGTGTGGAGAACCTTTTAATGTACGAGTATGACGTGACGAGCCACAGACAGTCAAGCAGATGGCAAGGCGGTCACCGTAACTACTGCCCTCCACCTACACAGTTATACGTGATGTCCCTGAACTCAAGACAGGCACTGTTTATGAGAAGCATATCTGCAATGTACTGCAGTAGGGAATGCTGTCATCTAAGTTCATTTGATACTAAAACCTGCACTGAAGACGTTGTCTAGAAGGACAACAAAAGCTTCGCAATTAAATCCAGTAGCTCAAAGAACACAACTAATTCAAGATAGCCCTTCGTGGTCCTGGGATAATTTCCCCTCGTACACTTTCTCCTCCCACTCATAGCACATCGATCACTTCACCACTGGTACTAGTTTTCGGGTTCAGATTCTAGGTGTTATTAGCCACACTACCCTAACAATGGCACCAGACCAATGAAGAGGAAATACTCGGTTCTGTGAAAGCAACCTCAAATCGTAAAGCAGCAAACGCAGACTGCAATGCGTCCTCACACCTCACTTACACTGTAGAGGTGCAACACAGAAGACGACCACCAAAGTCACCCAAGTATCTTGACCAATCCTGAGGAAAACGTCGACAGCAGGCCTGTCACATCGGAAATGACCAAAAAGAGGAAGTAATTATTTCGGATATATCAAAAGTACTGGCGGATCTTCAGAATAATACATATGATGAAGGTTTAAGTAAATAAGTTCTTTTCAAACTCAGGTAGTGCCGACTGAGGACTGAACTAATTAATGCCTATAGGGTTACAAATGACTGCATTCACTCAAAAAAGGTATCCTGCCATCAGGTCATTACGGGATTCCTCCTAGCAATCCACACAATACGACGCACCAGAGAGCAGAGACACGAATGGGCTCCGTTAATCTTCTCTTAGGGTTTACCGTCCCTGGAAATCTTCCCCAGTAGCTGTGGCTACTGCACCACCCGTTGAAAGCTTTGAAGGGAGGCTGGATAATCATGCAGCAATACAAAAGCTCTGCCCAAACGGTCTTTCTTCCAGAGCTCATACACCATAGGATTAATGAGTATATATCAAAACTTGTCCTTTACCACTGCCCTTTCATCCCCGAGCCGCTCTTTTGATTATTCTGCCTTATTCATTCACTCATATTATTTTTGTTATTATTTCAATATAGTCAAATTTCAGTAACTGCTTTTACGTTTTTCTTTTAAGTCTACCTACCTTGTTTACATTCTTTCCTATCTTACTCTCCTGACTACTCCAAATGCTACGGCTGCAATTATTATTATTTTTGATATTATAAACATATACTTACATGCGTACATATCGACTTCAAATTCAATTAGCTGTCTTTTTTATGTCTTATTTATTTACTTTTCTGTCTTTTACTCTGAATAAACTACACTAATTATATCTGTTATGATTATTATCTCTTTTCTTCTGACGACGACACCGGAGGAGTAACTGGTGAAAGGATCAACTCCACTCACAGTAGCAACACAGTCTTTCAACACCGCATACTAAAATCAACATATAATGAATCCCAGCACCACTCCTTTTGGAGTCAACCAAAGCTACGACAGTCTAGTCGCGGGACTATTTCCGCAGAAGTTTATCGAAGGCCAGGAACCTATACCTCATAATCAAGAAGAGAACACAAAGAAATCAAATTGATTTACACTAGCTTGTGAAAATGATATTGGACATTGGGAGGTTTTAATTCCGCGTCTTTCAATAGTTTCGTTTCAATTTGAAGGTTATATGTGTTTGCCCGAAAATGTGCTGTTACCATGTGATTTAAACTGCTGGAGCGAAATAAAATGCATTTTACAATGCATACTACAGAAAAAAATGACCCTGACTGAAAAGTTCCGCTTATTATATGATATTGAGAGTTTATTTCACTACAATGTAAAACGATATAACCGACTGAAAATTTGGCCAGCCAGCAGCATTTATACTGGTTTGGGAAACTTCATTAAGTTCCATATGGGCGAAAATGAGGGGAAATATTTTGAGATGCACACCTTGCCTTTTATTTTGGACTGTGTTGTTATGACTGAAATTATTTCACGTAACAGTAGACCATCGTATTGCTCTGAGAATCAAAGTACGTTTGTGTATATGTTCATCTAGTTATTTCTAGAGTGTTCGGAGTTGATACAATACGATACTTGCACGTCTATTGTTGCATGTTCTTTTCTTTGTTTATTACCTACTCATCCTAAATACAACCAGTGCTCAAGTGACATTAACTTTACCAGTGTTTTCCTCAATATATTTCCTAGGTATGTTCTTAGTTTCTGTAACTTTTTTGTAGCAAATCTCTACAAGTGAAGGATCTGCGGCGTGTGGTCTCGTATTTTGAATTTTGTAGGACTTTTAAATCATCTCTACAAGGTCTAGTTGTGTCACGTCGATTTTGGTCATGTTTAGATTTACAGAGACCTTCCTCAGACAACATTGGTGCGAATGTCTTTTCGCGATCTAATTATGACACTTTGACTGGAATTTTATCTTGTGCACGTCTCCCTCTTCTGTTAGTAGACAATATTTTCGATGAAGAACAAATCGCTCTTGAAGCACACCTTCCGACTGTAAGTACACCAATTTATTCTTGTTATTAAATTATTCAGAACGGTGCTTTCTTTAATATGCACTAACGACCGAAGCAATACTCCCTAGACGAAGTATAATCTGTTGAATAATTATTTGAGTGCTTTGTAACATATGACTATTGTAGATTTAGGATACACATCTTCTACAAGTCTGTGGGCAGTAACTACTTCCTACTACCTATACTGGATAAATGGGTTTATTTTTGTAGCACATGGAACAGAAAGACAGTGTTGAGTAACCGCGGAGCCAAGGGGACATCTGCCTAAGGCCTGTCACAGCGTGATTGAAGCGGTTTTTGGAGTTGTTTCAGTATTAAAATCTTACCACCGGCCATGGACCACTGCAGGTCAGGATGTATAGGTTTAGGGGTCGACCTTTTCTAAAAACCCCTTTCCATAGCTAAGAAGCGACATAGCTGACTTGCTGGTCATCTGGGGGAAACATCTTACTACTGTAACATCCCTGTTCACCCACCGACCCCCAACAGTTTAAACTAGTCACATTATGATGATAACCGCTTTTAGTCGGACTTCTATCCAAACAATCTTTCTGACATGGCAGGACTTTCGTAGACATGAGTTACAGCTCGTTGGATCTATGAGATATGCAATCCCAAGTCATCAGCTCTCGGCCGAGTACAGATATTTTGGTCAGGGATAAAAGGCTCCTAGCTCATTTTAATACAAATACACTTTTTTAAAAATCCAACGTTAAACATCATTATGTGTCTACTGCTTTTTATACTGAATGAAATGAGTTAGAAACTTAGCGTGTAGCCTAGTATCTTGGAATGAAGCCTAGCTGTATTGCTACAACATGTGTATGCACTGCTGTCTCATAGGTGTTTTCATAAATGTAGTGAATCAGTCGGAGTTTCTTGGAAATATTCATCTTTTGTTTCGCATACAAATAATAAGCTTAGCAAATTTAACAGGTTATCACACAGCCTTACCTTATATTTATTACTACTGTTTGTTCATTATTGTCGATTAATGCTATGTAAAGTGCCTCTTTTTATAGGGTAATAAAATATGTGGTGGTTTTTTATTCGTTTGGTTCTTAACCGTTTTTGAACTATAGGTTCATTTCATGAGGCCGCATGTGAAAGGGGTGCTATTCAACGGTGGTATATCACAAGCGGAGTCACTTTTCTCAAAATATCCAGATTTAATCTCTATCATTCCTTTACACCAAAACTTAAGCGATGGAGAGTCCCTATGGGTTGATCATTATCGAGGTCCATTTCTGCCAGAGACACTTGGCGCCTCTACGACAATGGACCGCTTTATTGAAGAAGCTGTTAAATGGCGTCGCTTAATTTTGTTAAACAGTAATCAATATCCAACATGGATGTCTGAAATTCACTACTCTACAGAGTGTCTAATTAACGAAATAATTTTTGTTACCGCTGGTCTTTCTCCTGACGGATTAAAAAGTAAAGATGAGGTGAGTGTAATAAGCCTTGTTTTATTGGGATATTGCCGTTTGTAATGTTATTTTAAGTTATAAAACATATTACTTCGAATATTCCTGAATTTGGTTTTGAATATAGCCGATTTCTGATGGAGTTGTTTACTCTCAAATTTCCAAAAACTCTTGTCAGTTGTTCCTAATGTTTTTATAGTAAACTGAAGTTTAGTTGGCAGCGAAAATAGCTGGTTTCAGAAGTACTTATTTAAGATGTGAAGATTATACTAGTTATTTTTATAACAATCGTTGAGTTGACCGCGTTATATAAGAAGCTACATGTATTTCTTTTATAAACAGTTAATGGATTACTTTTCTGCACAAGTACTAATATTTTTCAGCTATTACCAGTCTTGTTCGTATCTCCTCATTATGTTACTTTAACAGTGTCATTTATCTGTATGGGTTTTGTAAGTATGTCGTGTAACATTAAGTTGAATACTGTGGTTAGTTGTACAACTGGCTACTTGATTTTTCGATGTTCATACCTTGTATCAAATCTGGAAGCAGTTATTAGTATCTGAAACATCTGTATTGTAGTCTCCAGAAGCACTTGTAGATTCCTCCAAAGTCTTCACTTGATATTTCTAAAGGGAAACATCCAATAAGAAATCACCTGCAGGAGTGATAAGACAAAATGATTCTGATATACCCAGACAATTTTTTATTTATTAAGAATCATTGTTAATTCATCCAATTGTGAAATCACTGTCAGTGCTGAGCAGCCTTTTGTTATTTATTCATTTTTAGCATATTCGTCCAGAAATTTTCAGTTCAACCTGGTGGGATTATCTTAAATCGAAATCAGGTAATATAATTTTTTGCGTTCTACCAGCCAACTTTTTATAGCAAACAAATTCATCTCCAAATGACTTTTATAGGTTTTATAAAACTATTAGTATGTGAATTGGTGGATGGTGACTAGCAGTGGAATCCAGGATGCTCATTTCGTCCTATTTGGCACTCGTCAACTGGACGTACCTGCATCCCCCAGTGAGTGATAGTGTTCCCACCAAGGCTCGAACACAGTGCCCATAGTTTCAAACGCCGAAGCGTTATCCACTAGACCACTTGGACCAAAAGAGCCATCTCTTGCCCTTCAGCGTTTGAAACTATGGGCACTGTGTTCGAGCCTTGGTGGGAACACCATCACTCACTGGGGGATGCAGGTACGTCCAGTTGACGAGTCCCAAATAGGACGAAACGTACATCCTGGATTCCATTGCTAGTCACCATCCACCAATTGACTTCAAGTTGCATGACCAGATATCGTCAAAGCTCCTGCACAAGGAGCCGACATGTCAACCTGAGACCAAGCACTTCGGTCCAATCAGTCGACGGGAAAATCTAAAATGGAATTAAATATTAGCATGTCATTTTGAGTTTTTTTTCTAAAAAGATGATTGACATTAAGTCTTTGACAGAATATCATCTAGTTGAATTTTATCCTCGTTCTTATCTATTAGTGAATATGTATGCTATGCAGAAAAATGCATGTTAATTTCTGACTGACTGACTGGTTTCAACATAGAATTTTCTGAATGTCATAAAACACTAAACTAGGACAATAACCATAGTAAATTTGTTGTATACATGGAAAAACCACCCTGTGTCAGTCTTCCTGAATAACGGATGTGCAATTTAATTGTATCAACATTACTTATGAGTCCCATGTTGTTGTGGCACATAACAAATATTCAGTTTTGGCGACAAGCAAACGAATAATATTCACCTAGTCTTTGTTCACTAGGTGTAATATAGTTTTGGAATTCAGCATATGCAAAGTATGATCAATCGTGTTGTTTCTGGGTATATTTCTGACGGAAGTCGACAGTAAATATCTGTGAAATTAATAGTAACTGTCATTTGATCGAATATCTTTGAGTTTTTCTTTTGCGTTAGAAACAATTTTAAACTCATTGGTTTACTTCAACTTGGGTAATGGTTTCACTCATGATGTAACTCCCATTTTCAGCTTCACTTAACTATTTATTGCAGTGTCAAAGTGCATGGTTCTTAAACGTCAATAGTAGTAACAGCTTCATAAACTTAATACTCAACCTGACAGTAAATCAACTCGGTCTTTTGTATATATTTCCCACACAAGTAAATAATTCTCTCAAATTGCTAAGACAAAAATAATTAACGAATTAAATTATTGAGAAATCTAGACGAGGCATCGATTCTTACTACATCTTTAAATGACAGTAAGTAGTTCGACTAGTTGATACTTTGTCTTCTTTCCAATATCGCCACCAAACCATTTGTAATATGCTTCTGTAGCTCCACTGACCTAATGGTCCGGCTACTTCTTTCTGGGAATATCCACATAAAGTTTTTGCTACACCATAAAAGTTTGCTAAAGATTAGCATAGCTTAAAAAAATAGTATTATGCTGTAAACTGTTTGTTCTGTAGTGGAAGTTTAAGTGCAATATGACCTTTAGTGTAAGCCTGATTGGATGGATTACTAATGTTTTGCACTTGCAAAGAATATGAGTAACAGTTGACCACAGTGATGCACATATATGCAATTTTTGTTCCTTAAGTCTCGAGCAGTTTTTCCGCCATATGCGTGTTTCTTCCTTCCGTACATCAATATCATCCTACTTTCAATTATTTATTAATTTGTTGTTATTATGAAACGCAGTGCTTTAGCGTTAGGTTTGACATCATTGTATCTGTTTACTATTTCTCTACTAATAAGTGCAGAAAGCTCTCGTTTCTGAATTAGCGAATAAGCGAAAACAGTTGAGCTATGAACTTATGCACATTAGTGAGTAGAAATTAGAGAAATATTCAAAACAATTTTAATTATTATTAGTGGGTAGTTTGTTAAGCTTTAAGGAGATTGTTATGCAGAAAGTTAGGAACGGTAAGAATTACCATCAAAAAGGTTCACTGTTTAGTCGCAATGTACAGTTGTAGATATGAGTGTTAAATTCTGAGGAGCAGTACAAGGACTGTCCAGTTGAAAACCGTTTTCTACAACATGGTTTTATTAATGACATCAAGTTTATCTCTTACAAGGTTAAAATGGTCATAGTTAACATAGCACAACAAAGAATAGCATATCGTAATAACTATTAGACTTGTAGAATAGTTTATCTGACGTAGATATTAACGGAAGTGTTAAATTCTGAAGTAATGGTACCTGATGTCTCCCCTGCTGGTTGTTTTCATGTGTATTAAACGACAGAAGTGACCATCATAAGGGGATTTTTCTAACTAGTGTTATATTGAAATATACTTTGACCTGTAGTAATCTGACCCCTAACTAAAACCTAGTATTAATAAATGCAACAAATAAACAGAATAAATTTCATGTTTCACAACTGGGTTTTCTCTCTATAATTAGATATCAGTTAATCAGCATAAACCCTAAAAGTGCTGTTGAATACTAACGAATAGTTAATTCTAAGTTATTGATGACTACAGTTTGTTTAAAGTTGTCCAGGTAATTTTGAAATCGGATTTTATGATGATTAAATATCAGCATTTACTTACATAGTTTCTGCCTCACGTTATGAAATAATTTCCTCAGCAATAAGCAATCTCATATTGCCTTCCACTGACTTAAAATTTATTTTTACTTACCGGTTTCATAGCACTTTCCATGAGTTGTAGTGCACATGTATAAATTCTAAAGCTACTGGAACACTCTGTCTTAGTTATTATGTGTGATGCTAAGAAAAAACTCAAACTACCTCGCTAGTTGTTAAAAATTACAAACAGAATAATAATCAACAAGACCAAACAGTCTTGTTAGTGATTAATTCGTTCCGAATAGTTTTATAATTACATTGGAAGTCATAAATGTGTACCACCTATAAAAATAAATACTCTGATTTAATTCTTCCTTACAAATTGTTTTGATATACTGCTTAACATGTAGAGGCTTATAATGCTAGTAGGTTACGCTGTTCAAAGTAGATGGAGTGGGATTTGAATATGATAGTGATTAAGTTAGTGAACTGTATTACTACTAGTTATCATAGATTATGTACTATGCTGAGGCATTTTATCAAGGCAAGCATATTCATATTCAGTAAATAGCTATCCAATTAGTCAACAAAATACTAAGTTTCTCTGTTTCAGTTTGTTTTTGAAATAATGGATTATTATAAATTAAATATCTCTAGTTTCTGAACATTATTTAATACAAATAGTTTATTATGGCGTTAAGTATATTTATGACAGTTTAGTCCAGTAGATTCCCCCAATTATATTCTCGCATAGTCTAATCAAAGGCCATTGTGTCATCTTGGCAAGTAGTGTGGGTTAGTCCTTAAACAATAAGTGTCGCTCATTACATGTCACACGAATATGCACATCATTAAATTGCCATCCTTTTTAATCTTTAACTAGGGACTATGGAACACTTGCATTGTGTTTATCTAAACACACACTTCTCTGAGTATCCTGATTGTCTATTTACTAGGTTATTAAAAGCCTCTGGTTCGAGTTCTTATATAACTAAAGGTTTCTTCGATATCATGTTTTTATGTTATGTCTTGTGTACCCTTATCAAGTGCTGTGTCCATTTTCAATTTGTCTATTGTATTAGCATCAGGAATTGAACAGAGGTATACTAAAAGCAGTCGACTTTCATCTAATGATTTAACATATTCACCTAATACTGCTATAGAATGTGTACAAACTACAATTGCCAAATCTCTAGTCGATTATGCAGATAAACTTGTATCGGGACTAATCTGTGGGAGTCTAAACAAATTGGGAAGAGGGAAGACTAACAAACTGTCGAATTCTGGTGATCGAACACTTCTCAAGAAATCTCAAATTGGTAGATGTCATTCAAATCAACGTACTTTGAGTGTATTTACACCATTAAATTCAAGTGATTTAAGCGGGAAACTATGCAAGAATATTTCTAAATCTACTGCACATCACTTTAATCCTAGGTTTGTTATTTTGATTTATAGTTGAAATAATCTTATAATGATATAATGTCTTTAAAATGATAGAAAAGATTTAATTGAGCCTTAAGTGGTTGCCAGTTAGAAACTCGCGTAATTTAACTATTATCTGGTTCAATAAAATACAAATATGGATTGATCAATTCATTGTTTGGATGGCCGCAGAAACTTTCCTCTGAATATAGATTGTATGAAAAGTTTGACTTCCTTGAAAGGTGAATGTCAGAAAAATGAGTATCGAAAGAAATTAATAAAACGATATTGAGAATGTTGCTACAGACGAGAGAAAGCCAATATTTATCCAGATAAGCTTCAAAGATGATGTATCACATCGAGCGAATAGAAGACTAATAGTTGCCCTTGCTACAACTTATACGGCAAATAAACTTGTTCCAGTTTACAGCACTAGTTGTGCTCTTCATCAACATAAGTTGAACAGGTGCTCATCAGAAGTCACCTGCAATTATGTTTACAAATTCACATGTAGCTGCTAAAGAAAGTACATTGGGAGAATAGAAAAATGGGCATCCACTGGCTTCTACGAAAAAATCCCAGGAAGCCCTGAGACTCGAAGGTCCTCAGTCCCCTACCTGCGCAATTGCCCGGCATATAATCAAAAAGGGATGCAAAGTAGCTATTCCAACTGCAATCATCAGTATCAACAAGCAACGAAATCCCACTTTACTACGATTTGCCGAGTTAGTTGCTGTCAAGAGACTTACACCCAATCTGTGTATGCAGAAAGAAACTGTGATTAATCTCACTTTAGCCTGTTAATAATTTTTTCCACCTATTACATAATTATGCACTCTATTTTCTTTTTCTTCTATTATTATTATTATTGGTTTTTTGACTCACTAAACTTAACTCACCTAATTGATTTCTAATTACTTCAGAATGCTTTCTTCTATATTATTACCTAGTCTTTCTTTATGCATGTCACTGGCTAATTAGCGTTTTGTTGTTAGTCATATACCAGAACTTTTTGAATCTTCCAAGCTTATTATAAATAACAAGTTTCTTCCCGTGTCAATTGTAGTGAATATGCCATCACATTGCATTCATTGCTATTTTGTTTAACTGTGACATTCATGCTTAGCCTCTGCTCAGTAGAATTGAAAAAATGGATGTTCTTATTTCATTAATCCTATGTATATTTTAGGCTGTCTTCAGTTGAAGAGAGACCTCGAAACAAGACGCTCCAAATCTTGTTCCACTAGTTTTATCGAAGATGACCGGTTGAATACGTTGTTTCGGATTAGTGTATTACCTTTCCACCTTCGATTTTGTAGTGTTATAAGTTTATGCAAGCATTTGCTTTTAGTGTTGCATAATATTCGAAAAGATCGTCGCCCTTCTGTAAGCAACCTAAAAGCGCAGTAAATTTATTCGATATTAGCCGATAATTTGCCGATACGTTTTTAACTACTTATAAGTAGCTGGATTTGTCACAATATGTTTTGTTCGAAATGCTGCGTTGATCTCATTTAGTTGTCTGCTAATATTTTTTGTAGACTCACGTTTCTAGGATAGACTGATATACCAATCAGGGTGAATGCACCTAAGAAACTACCTAGAGCTGACAGAACGATGGTACCAATTTATTCTGCAAAAACTGTAGTTCTTGCTTTGTTCAAAAACGAGAATATGTGGCTACATAAAGATGTTTATGTTTTTAAGAAAATAAGAGACAATTCAGGGAGGGAAATTTTCTTTATCGAAAAAGTCGTCTTCAAAGGCTGTGCAGGGATATTTATATGTATGAAAGTTTATTATTGTACTATAGGGAGGTTGACATAATTGATACACTTACTGACAAGTGATTCTTAAAGTTTGGAGGGAAAATACGTAATAATAACCGACACAATGTAAGGAAGGGCTTAAGTGAATTACTTGATAATAATACTAATAATAGTAATGACTTTATTCTGCGAAATAGATTAATATATATTACAGGATTCCCAACAGGTTTCGTCTCGAAGTATTTACTCCCTTGGCTGGTTTATTCAAGTTAATATGTCATTTGAAGCAATATTGTCCTATTTATAGAGCACACTGTAATTACCTGTTATATTTTTTCTCGACTTCGAAAAATCCTTAGCATTGAAAATAGACATGGTTATAGATCTTGCTTCAAGGACATTATGGAATAATTAAAATAACATGAAACAGAGTAGGTAAGATGGATTCTGATAGATGGGAAGTTAGTTAGCCCAGTGATTTAAATATGCCACCAGGTATAAATGAGAAAAGAAAAAATAGAGGCAAACAAGTAAGTAGATAAGTGTTTAAGACCATGATAGAATAACAGATTGAACAAACCTTTTCTGCACAAAGCGTTTAGAGTTGCGTTGACTCATCGCTAGCGTCCGCGCAATACATTAGCATCGAAACCCAACACTCATTGTACCATCCGGTCTTACTTTGTGGATGATTTTAAAAAGATGAGTCTGGTGGAGCTGAGTAGCCTGAGTTCACTAGATGTTCGGGAATTTAGCTAGTGATTGATTTGCATCTTCTTCTTGATAACTATGCTAGGTAATGTTCTGATATGCATCTAGAAGGTGTGTACTTTGTGCGGCCAACATAGCTAGGACAAAGTGAATTTATAAAATCACATTGAAGTAGTCCAAAACAGCAGTTTGCCCCCAATTATCCACTGACTGTTTGCCGTAGATCAACTGAAGATGCTATTCTCAGCAAACTGAACAGACAGTTTTCCAGAACCTCAGACAAGGTATCACCTTTAAATCCAACATTCATAAACAGAAATTTCTTCGACGCATGTGGATTCTCCCAGGCTGCTGCTCTACCCATATTTTTTTTCAATGAATCGTGTAGGCCATCCATTTTGAATGACAATCTGTCTAAGTCTCTGCAGTTCACTGATGCAAATCCTTCTTATTCTTGAAGATAAGGTTTCTCTGTCTTTCCAACTATGAAAATTGATGCATGGACCTGTAGATTGATCTCTGAAGAGAAATATCAGATCCTCTTTTCAACAAAACATCCAAAACAAATGAAATTCAGAGTTGATCTCTAATTTCTATGTGAACTCGATAGGGTGATGACAATTGTTGAACTCCTTCGTAATAACTTCGATTTCAGTATCTGAGTCATATAGGATGAATGTATCACACATGTATAATTTTTACATATGAAAACTCCCAGCACTGGGTCGTAACATCCTATTTTCTAGACTTACCATGAAACAATTTGCAAGCAAGTAGAGGACTCAATGGCAACTGCATTATCACTCTGCTTTCTTTTGTCTGTACAATGTGCCACTGAACTTGAACCGGACGTTAAAGCACACCTCAACAGTAGTTGTTTTTAAGTAGTAGATTGGAACTCCCACGTTCAAATTATGATCATCGATGAATTTGCATTGGAAACTTAGTTTTGGTGAGAGGGAAACGAACAGTAGAACCCCAGAATATTATTTCCTTCCCGTTGTGACATAACTTGATCATTTTAGTCATACTGTAAGTTTGTTTAATAAATATAAATTTCTCTATGGAAGCTAGAGTTCACATCTATAATGTGAAAATTGATGCCAAACATACTGATTTCATAGATTAGAATGAATGCAGTTGTCTTAATCCAGTGAACTCACTTGGCTATGCCACAGTCCTGCTTTAGTATTCTTCACTTCAGATTTTTACTTCTTTATTCATTAGGATCTGTATAAAACTGTCATCTGCCATTGTTTCACCATCAACCGCTGGATGAAATTAGTTGTAGCCGGTTACGAGTACGAACCCTTCTCCACTTACCAAGATTCTGACTACCAGGTGATATCACTATTACTTACACATCCAATATGTAGCGATTACTTAATTGCATCGAATTGAATGCACATTAAAATTATCAGTCGTATATATTAATGCAAGTTATAACAAAAATATATGATAAAAGAAAGCTGACTGACTGGTTTCAACGTAGAACTGTGCAAAGATGTGCAGTAGTTCGAGTTGCCACACCCCATGTAGCACACAAAGCAAAAGGAGAGAGTAAAAAGAGATTCAAAACAGAGATAATAAACAGAAATGTGAGGCACAAAGAATAGTAATATGGAAGAACAATAGCATTTTATTGGATATTATAAATCACAAAGAGTGAGTGCATCTCTGCCATCATTGAGAACGATTTTGAGCCATATCACCAATTGTCTCCAGCCATTGGTTTTTACCATCCCGAGGAACCCAACCAGGAAGTTTACACCACCCTACGGGACTGGCTTAACCTAACTGTTGTGGATTCTTATATAAATGTGTGGTTTGACCACAAAATGCTAGCTCTTTTCCAACCTGATCCATTCTATGTCAGCTAACATTGCCCATTGTCGAGGAAGGCGATAAGCTAGGCATGAGTAACACATATCCTCACCATCTCAATCGGTTTAACTTCACAACTTCGTCGATTGATTTCTTCTCCTTACCTAGCACTCAACCGATGCCTAACCTCAATGTTGGTCACCCTATTATACCACCTAACACACACGGGAGATAAAACTCAGACACCTATGATCAAAGACAGCTAGCCAGGCTTTTCATGTCTTGCACTTTCAATGGCCATGTCACACCGCCAGCCATAAAGGAGGACAGAGAGAACTGCTGAGTAGTACACACACCCTTTGGTCGACAGCCAGCCGGATATCACATCTACGCCAGAGATGACGTAGATTGACATATGCCAAACGAGCCTTCTGTATCCGTGCTGAGATTTCATAAAAGAAAGCCCAAACTAATGATATTATAATTATGAGATTTCTTTTCTTTTTCTCTCTTTTGTATTTTTCAGTTATAAGACAAGCAGTTGTTCAAATCAATGTAAAATCATTGAACAGGGAAAACTTAACAAGCCAATTGTATATTATGCTAGTGATTTAGTGAAAGAATCTGTTAACTACGTACGTTATTTAGTTATAAATATTTATCCTGGTTTTTCTGACTAGGAGTAGAATTAAGGATACAGTTTTCGTCTTACTTAAGATTTGTCAGATGAATGTACTTGCATCTCATTGTGATTGTGTTCTCATTGAGACCCGAATTCAACACATGACGTAATATTTCAAATCAACCACTTTTTGTATAGCAAGTATGATTTGATGTTATGCAATGAGTGATATTCATAATCTTTCGTTAATGTCATTCTGATGGGTGTTGGGCTCGTATACTAATGCGAAACTACATCATTTGGAGTGTTAGTTATAACTTAGTTAACCAGAAAAAGCTTCTCTCATGTACCAGGATATCAACCACACATATTTTTGTGTGAGTGTTATGCAGTTATTCAAGCTGAAGTGATTGTAGCGGGATTTTAACCCAGGCGCCACTGACTGAAAGTCGATTGCTTAAGCCAGTGAGTGTGAGTGCATTCAGTTGGGGCGAATCCAAAATATGACGAAACTCAAGTTCTTAACTCCACTTTTAGTCCTTATTAAACAATTTTTTTTTGAGTTTTCCTATTTGTTATTTTAATTCTAAGGTGAAGCACAATGTAAGTAGGTTTACAGATAGGTAGGTGCTTTTTGTATACGCTACACAAAGTTGATTAGATCGAAATTGTTTAGAAATTTCCCCTATTTTTCCACATTATTATTCACTTCTTTCTGTTTTCTTTCATTTTTCTTTTTTGTTTTCATCAGGCTCAAAACGTATCAACTCTTCATATTCACCAGTTAAATGTGTACTCTGATAAATTAGTTGCTAATATACTTCAAAGTGCAAATAAATTATTGAATTGGTCAAACCAGTTGTCTAAACAAATACTTACTGAAGTTAAATATTCAAATAATTTGGGCATAAATAATAATATTAAGAACCAGAATGTTATGAATTCAACAATTGATAAAGAGGTTGTTGAAAATAATAAAACAAATACTACCAACAGTGAAAAACATCCTATGAATGAAGACTTTCAACAGTGTCGAATATCTCAACCGAATAATGATTTGAACAGTCATGAAAAATACTCCATACTGAATAAAGACAATTCAGTTGATGACCAGTCCTGTCAAACAATGAGCATGGATTCAGAAATGAAGGTAATCGTTCTATTAACTCTATGATTGAGTGTGTTGTACCCTACCAGCTATAACTTTTTTATTTGAATTCTCAAAACTGATCACTATCAAAAAGTAGATCAGTATTCAAATGTTGATTTTGTAAGGAAAAAATGGATTGGTTGCAAGGTAGTTTTTCTGTAATGTTGAAGTCTCACACTAGGAAGGAACAGTTGTTTTCTGCCTGATGGCTGGCTCATTAATACATAGATACACGCCGAAGTGTTCACATTGTGTCATAGTATGTCTTTAGAAGGAAATCAGGATAATAATTTTTAGCATCAATAAATAATGTTTATAGTCTGGTGTTCAATGTATCTACGTGCATCTTTTCTACATAACGTTACATGTTTGATACAAGTAGTATTTATAGTTTCAGTTCTAACTGACTTAAGCTTGATTTATTATGTTGCGCTGTGTATACACCTACAAGCTGTGCTGTTTTGGTGGTCTTACTGAAAAATGTTGGGTTCGAACCCTTGTGAGTAAGCAATGCTGAAGAGTTCCATACTAGGACGAAACAACTGTCCAGTACTCCATGGGTTTCCAATGGTTCTCTGAATGATATCAGGTCGTGATCAAACCTGTAACCGATCAGACTCTTGCAAACTGACACTTGGCAGCAATATATTTTCCTAACTGAATAGTAGCATGCATAAGCATTCAACCTTTTACATCGATAAAGAAAGGCGGAAGACTTCGCATTAATTTCTTCTATACGATTGCTGGTATTTGACGTATGATTCTGTGATAAAGAAGAAATCAGTAGTGGCCTTAGTGTTTTGGGCTTGTTGGAGCTCATCAACAAGGCGTACATTTGTAACCGTATAGAAAATTGTGGTCCCTTAGAGATTAAGTCACTCAGTTAAGATATAATTCCCCTCAGAGTTACAGATTTCCTTTACTAAGAAGTAGTAACAAGCACGACTTTCTGTCAGTATACTCCTCCTCCTTATGTCTAATATCGAATTGCAGTGAGCAGTAGTATTCAGATAGGCGGTCATATTGCGCACGTGATTAGTAGGTTTTTACCCTAGATACATTGGGCAACCAGTACTTATTGGTAAGCACTGTGCCTTAGCATGCATAGTTCTCCTGTCGCTTCTAAATATTATCCTGATGGAATTTAAAAGTTCTAACTAACCGTCTCAGACGAACTCACAATCAATCAATATTTTTTACTGTGGTTATGTATGTCATGAGGGTATCTCACAGCTTTGAGAGGAAATAAAGTTGCATGAAGAATGTGATGGTAATTTCATTTTACTTATCGCTTGGCTTTTTTTACAATAAAGTCACCAAATCTGATTATTAGATGTATTTAATCAAGTAATAAAACGGATAAAAGTGTGTTTACTGTGAATATCTTTTATCTATTTCAGATTGTAGAAGAATCATCTCTAAAAACTCAAGCAATGAAAGACATTAAGAAGTCTGATAATTGTATATTCCCTAAAACAAATCCCATTATTGTATGTGAGGATGGTGATCATACAAACTCTAAAAAATCTGTGTTTAAATGTGATAGTGCAAAGCATAAATTACCGCAGATTTTTGTTTCAGAAAATTTATCTGAATTTGCAAATAGTCTAGTTGTTAAGTGTATCACATTAGCGTTTGGAGAAATCTACATTCAAAGGATGTCTTCGTATTTGAATCATGTAGGTTTGTTTGAAGTATTTTGTTTTTCGATTATTTAACACCAACAAATATTGATTATGAAGTTTTGACTCATTCAGGCAGTGAATGAAAGGTTCGAGTCTCGCTTTACCTACCAGGTTACAAAATCAACTTTTAACCAGCATATAACGCAGATTATATAGGGGATCATTCGATATTACTTTCTTATTTCGTACATTGGATGTCGCTGGTCGATTCAGTTTGGGCGACCGGGTAATATCATCGTTTCCCATACAGTTATTGTGCTGGGCAGCTGAGTGTTTGTGGCGTCTGCTTGAATAAATATTGGATTGAGTAGGCGAAACAGTTAATGATCAAATTAACTATACTCCAGTATGACTAATCGAGCGATGACGATGTCAAACTGTATTAGCTACTCAATTTTGAAGTATAAAACATCGAGTTAACAGAGTGGAATTTTATACGACTGGTGGCCTGCTTAAATCTTGAGCTACTAAAAATTCATCCATCATTATATTCCATCTAATTTCTCGTGTTCAGTTTGTTTTAACCCGTTAACCTATCAAAATGTGATCTCCAATCGCATTGTATACACTTGCGAATATTTAAGATGAGGATTTGCGAATTTCCACAAAATCTAAAAAAGCATCATGCTGGGTGGCAACGTGCTTTAAAACGTATTCCTATACATCAAATGGCTGTTCCTGAGATTATGAGCACAAACTGTCACTCTCTGTCAGGTAAAATTAACTGTCTGAAATCCTTCGTGTCCTCCAATGTATACCGCAATGCAGGGACTATAACTCTTCAAGAAACCTGCCTGCACGACCTATATGATGATTATTTGGTCTGTCTTAATGGTTTAGGATTATTCAGACAAGATCGGTGTATCTCTGAGAAGAAATGGAGCGATGGAGTTGCAACCATCAATTCTCAGTGGCGTACTTCTAATACTGTATGTTTTAGATTCTCTAGCGACAAAATTGACTGCCTCACTTTTAAATGTCGACCGAAACGTCTGTCCAAAATAACTACTACTCTGACAAAATGCAGAGTCTACTGAACACCCTGAGCAACAATCTTCGTATGTTTCGCATGCGATTCGCCCCTGTAAAATGTAAGATGATGCTGCAGGATTGGACTTCACCGACCCTAGAATAGAAATAGGAAGTGAAGTGGAGAACACGTTGACCGCTCATTGCCCAGATCTCAGACGAATTCAGACGATACAGAGGGTTAGGTTCGCATACGCAGTTTTCGCCGTCTCTGGCATAGACGCGATATCCGACTATCGACCAAAGGCGTGTGTACTGCTCAAAAGTCCGCTCCGTCCTCCTTTATGGGTGTGAGACCTGGCCATTGAGAGCAGAAGACATGAAAAGATTAGCTGTCTTCGATCATAGGTGTCTGCGTTCTATCTCCCGTGTGAAGTGGTATAATAAGGTGAGCAATATTGAGGTTAGGCGTCGAGTGCTAGGTAAGGTGGGGAAATCAGTCGAGGAGACTGTGAAATTACATCGATCGAGATGGTTAGGACATGTGTTATGTATGCCTAGTCATCGCTTTCCTCGACGGGCAATGTTAGCTGACATAGGGTCAGACTGAAAAAGAGTTAGCGGCGGTCAAACGAAAACATGGCACCAGTCAATGAAATCCACAACAGTTGGTCTAAGCCACGTAGGAAGATGTAGACTTCCTGGTTGGGGTCCTCGGGATGGTAAAAACCAATGGTTGGAAACAATTGGTGACATGGCTCAAAATCGTTCTCAGTGGCTAACGCAGATGCATCCACTCCTTGTAACTTATGATTTCCAATGAAACTGTTTTGTTCTTCGTTATTACTATTCCTTTGTCTCACACCTCTGTTTACTGTCTATATTATGCATTTCTTCTACTTTCTTCTCTTGCTTTGGTTGCTACATGGAGTGTGGCGACTTGAACTGCCGCACATATGTGCAAAGTTCTATGTCGAAAACCGACCGACCGACCGACTTATTTCTAACACTTATATTGCACCTGGATGTAGTCTGTCAGAGCTATCCTTATTTGCTGATGAATTTACTTCCTTTGATGCCACCTCCCTTGGAAGCTCCTTGTCAGTAGTTGCTGGTGACTTCAATTCTTGTGACTACAGTTTCCTTACATCATTAGGTCATGAAAATATTGTCAACTTCTCAACACGACTGGAAAATACTCCTGATCTAGTGTTTACAAACGACTGGCATATTTTAAGCTCGGAAAAGAGCCCCACTACTTAATTCTGATCATTGTATCATACAAATATTGCCCAAAATATATGCAAAGCTGCACTAAAGGGCCTTCTTCCACCTTGTCATAGCATAGATGTTACTCTCGTGACAATATTCAGAATCTAAGGAGCCTGTTGAAAGATGCAAACTTGGACTTATTTACTGAACAAGTTCTAGATGACAAAAACGTAACATGTTATCTCGAATTCTGTCTCGATGTTTGTTGTCCAAAAAATACACCCTTCTTAAGATTTGACCGCTTCTCTTTTCCTCAGCTCAAAAAGCTTCACCGAGGAAAAGAAAGACTATACAAAATGAAAGACAATCCTGGTGTTAAGAGACTGGACATTTTAATTAAATCAGAAATTTATTTATTTTATTCCTTTACGTTTCGAGTAGAACATAGGACTTCAAGCTAGAGCTCCGAAGTTTCGGTAGCAGTGGTGTTTATTCTTACGGGATTGCTAGCCTCATCCCCAACCTTCCGTCTTAACCGGTGAGGTAAGGGAGTGCGTCGGCCGGGGATCGAACCCCTAAGAACATGCGTGGCTGGCGAAAATTCTACCGCTACACCACGAACACTCAAGTTAGAAATAAAGAGATTAAATAGGATCTGACGGCGGAAGTTCCTATCATACAAGACCTCATCAAATTAACTATACTCCAGTATGAATAATCGAGCGATGAAGATGTCAAACTGTATTAGTTACTAAATTTTGAAGTATAAAACATCGAGTTAACAGAGTGAAATTGTATACGCTATAAAATAAACAGAGTGTAGACAAAGGAATAGTAATAACGAAGAACAAAACAGTTTCATTGGAAATCATAAGTACAAGGAGTGGATCATCTGCGCCACTGAGAACGATTTTGAGCCATGTCACCAATTGTTTCCAACCATTGGTTTTTACCATCCCGAGGACCCCAACCAGGAAGTCTACATCTTCCTACGTGGCTTAGACCAACTGTTGTGGATTTCATTGACTGGTGCCATGTTTTCGTTTGACCGCCGCTACTCTTTCAGTTGACCCTATGTCAGCTAACATTGCCCGTAGAAGCATACTAGGTACACAGTTCACTATCCCTTACCTAGACGCCTAACTATATACTATCCTATGATCGACTATTTACTGGCAGCCTGCTTAAATCTTGGGCTACTAAAAATACATCCATCGTTATATTGCATCTGATTTTCATCAATGAACCTAACTATGCGTAACTGGCATTCTACCGAATGAACTTAATTTTCGCAAACACAAGATCGATAATTATAACAGCCTAGTTTTTGGTTAATAATGGCTATTGACTTATGCGTATGATGTTTAGTTATTCATGTTATCTAGTAGTTTATATCACATAGCCTGACTGCTATTGTTCATGTTCAAACTTTCATGATCAGGTTATTTTTATGGCATAATACATGGCAAAAGCTTCTTGGCCTCCTGTTGAAATATTCGATCTTTGCACCCCGTGTGAAATTTGAAAACAGATTTGCATGATACCCTCTAGAGTCACAGGTCATGGATTTGTAGAGTGCTTTTTAGAGGTGCATAAGGAAGATCATAGTGGTCATGTAATTGATCTTCACTTGATCAATCTGATTAGTCTATATTATTCATTCTATAGATGTCCCTTGCTTCACCATGAAGCTTGTCATGCTTTCCAGTGGAAAATGGAGCTTCAAGCTAGAGGCTTGAAGTTCCTTTAGCAGTATTCATTTTTACGGGAAGAGGTTGCTAGCCTCGTGCCCAACCTTCCTCCTTTACCAGCTTTATTTCTAGCTTACCGCTGTAAAGGAGTGCGTCGGACCGGGAATCGTGCCCCGGACCATGTGCCCGGTCGGCGAGCATCCTAACCACTGGCCACCGAAGCTTGTTATGCCTCCTTTAATTCAGATGGTGGGAGAGATATCTGCGAAAACAGAAAATAAATAAGTTTATTAATTTATCGTATTCAGACATTATCGTTGGCAACACTGTTAATTAAATACTGCTTCTCCACTACTAAGCTACTAAGGTTTTATGAAGACACATTTCTTATTTGTACTTACAGTAATGGTTAAAAATGATCTATTCCAGTACACTACAATTGTCCAATATGTGTAGCGTCTCACTTACTAAAACAAAGTGCCATCGCTTATTTTAAAAACTACATACCATCATCAAAATTAAAGGAGAAATAATAGAGCTATATAAACTCAACTATAAAGTTATATGAATATAATACCTTGTTAACTGCTTGCAATGTCATCCATCACCTTTATCAAATCCAGACCAATTGGAAGTTTTCCTAACTTCGTGACTACACATTACACATTTGGTCGACAGGATTCAACTACAGTAAGGACTAGCTAATATATGACACTGGTTACTTTCCTCCGTCTCCATCGACCACTCTATATAATAAATGATACTTTATACTGCTGTTTAAATAAATTGATTTTATATAGGAATTGATTCTTATTTTGCTATTGATTGATTAATTTTTATAGGGTTCAATCAACTCAGACACCGAAAATAATAACAATAATGATCTCGACGACTTTGAGTCGAAATACTACAATTCTTCAAATATACGTCCTCCAGGCTTAATATTGGACGCTATTGGAGAAGAATATCCATCCAACTATTATTCAGATCCACAAATGAAAGTTTTAATTCAATGGATATCGGCTGCATTAGTTTATAGTTCACCTTGCTGTAAATTCAAATTTTTAGCTAATAAAATGAATTCATCAACACAAGATAAAATTGATGGCGATTATAATCATTCACCTAGTGAATTGAAGGAATTTAAGGATCAAATTGCAATGGAACACTCATGTTCACCACTAATCTGTTGTACAAATGGTGATGTGAAATTGAAAAAGGTAAATTATTTACAAATAATTTTTTCGTATTATTCTTTGTTAAAGTAGATAAATGATATATACTATGGACTGTGAAATTAACTATTGATTTGGTTATTTAAGTAATATAATTGACCCTTACATAATAGATGAGCATATTGTCAAGTGTATAAATACACAAGATTCCTCATTTATGAGAACTTGGTTGATGAAGTCAATTACTTACTGATTGAAGTCATCACATTATATGGTCATACAATAAACAGAGAAATGACGTTAGTGGACTTAGAAGTATAGCATTAATGACAATGTCTCACTTTATAGATTTGAGAGTTGAATTATACTGTGGTGAGAGCTGTCTGCAAGCCAAAATTTTAGACAACAATTTACGTCAATGTTCACGTCCCGAATCAGGGTCATGAGAAAAACAATAACAAAGCTTAACCCTGAGGAAATCACCAGTCAATCACGGCGGAGTTTAAGTGTGGAAATATGATTCACAGATATATGACTTGATTTTCTGAGAAACGGCCACAAAGAGATGACAGAATAACCTTCAGCAAGAAAACAACCAATCAGAAGAGGCTGCTTCTCCGCTAACAATAATGTACATAAAAATCTATAAGTACCTCTTGATTTTCTCAATAAACGATCTGTTGCCTGGCCGTTGTCTTCTGGCGTTACAGTATTACCACGTAGAAGGAATTAATCAGATAAAATTTAGATTACCGTAAAGTATTCCAAAATGAATTTACTGAGCTACGGGAAGTAGTAGGTACACATACTGTCATGGGTTCGAGTCCCGTCCCACCTACTTCAGTATGGGCAACTGGATAGTATCATCACTCCTTACACGATTAGTGTAGTTCCTAGTCTGACACAAAAAGTTTTCTGGGTAACAGCTTACATACTATTAATTCCATTTCCTATTCCCATTTCATTTGTCTTTACATTTATACTACTTATTACTAGTAAGTAGTATAAGTTTATCGTCTGTTCACCATCCGGTTACTGCTTAACCATAGTTGGATATTCCCATTGGAATTTATCTCAACATTTACCAACATCATATTTTATCTGCCATAGTTACTTCCATATAGTTAAGCGGTATCTGCTGTACACTGCGTCAGTGGCACAGTGGTTAGGACTCTCGCCGACCATGCAAGTGGTCCGGGGTTCGATCCCCTGCCGACGCACACCCGATATCTATGGTCGGCCTGCAAAATTTGGGCTACCGATATCCATGCTGAAAATTCCATACTTGTACTGAAAATACGGTGTGGCATCAAGTTGTAATCAAAATAATAAAAATAATACAGTACTGTATTTTAGACGAAAGCTGTGTTTTGGATTTTACGCCAAACGCACAAGTTTGGTTTAATTAATCGATTACAATTATAGCTGACGATTTCTTAGAGGAAATCTACACATACATTACCGTAGACTTTGTCATAACGTTATGTTACGTTACATTTTTTTTCGGAGTATGATGTCAACAAGCAATTTGATGTACAACATAATTCACTTGTCATAAAATGAGGAGTTTAAGTTGCGGTTTACTTATTGAATTTTCAATATTTTTATCACAAGTTCAAATACATCTCTTAAGGTTATTCCAGCTGATTACCTCAAACACTTCTAGTCACATGGACTTACCATTTGTTTTTTAAGTGTTTATACATATTTATTCATGAGTATATAAAAGTGTATTTATGCGTTTACTTCACTCTATTGGTGCTTTTTTTCTCTTCTTATTCTTTCACTCAGCTCCAGACTGTTGTATCACTTGTCTATAAAGCATCATGGAATGCTGGGGATTTATTCTGTGCTATGTTAGATTATTGTCATTATAGATCTCAGTATTTGGCTCAAACTACAAGTGACTACAACATTAATGATGATGATAATATCATTCCATTACAGTGCAATTATTCACTGTCACCTCAGTTAATATCAAAACCTCTATTATCTTTATTTGACTTTTTAATACTTCAGTTGCAAAATATTCAGTAAACGTTTCAACAACAACAAGTCTACTTTATTATGCTTTCTGTACAGAATCATTGAATCTCTATAATATTTCTCACTGACTTCTTATTATTTACTTTTTATGTACAGTTTACGCACAATGTTATTTAATAATATCTTATTTTGCTTAATTTTGATTTGAAATATTATTTTCATTAAAATATACTTCAAGTTTTCAATTCAATATTGAATACATCTCATACTTTTCATTTAAACAGATAATGTTTTTTTTTAAAGCCTAAACGGATTACTTGTATATACATCTCTGCATGCTTTAGGAAGTTAGGAATGTTGCTCATCAGTCTAAGTTATCGACTTCCAGTCAATTGGTGCCTTTCTTGAAATCTTGCTCCTTTTACTTCACTCTGGACAACTGAATAGTAGCACCAGTTCTCTTCTCGTACAATAATTTTGGCTCATGGCCGAAACCTGATCTAATTGACTGGTTTCTAAGTTATTCTCTCTTGACTGAGTGATGAAACATGAAAGATAATTATAAAATATTAAGTAAACAAAAAACACCTCACACTCAGAAAATCATCATTTCCGTAAGTGTGGGTAGTGTTGCCACCATCTTGTAGTAGTGTGGGTGGCTTGTGCTACTGATAAGATTTATCGGTAGTATATAAAGAGATGTTCATTGGCATAAAAATATCAAATAGCAGGGAGATAGATATAATAATAGAGAAGATTTGTAGCTCAGGTGGATGATTTGCAATTAATAGTGTTCTCTGAGCTGGTTGGTTTAGTTGCGGAGCTTTCGTCGTCCTTCTGGACAACATCTTCAGCGCAATATTTAGCATAAAGTGAAATGATTTAAATTTCTTCATGAGTGATATAATTGCGTCTCCTGGTAACCATCTTTACATATGTATTGACCATTTTCTATTGACTTGGATTTTAAACTTTCTGGTCACCTGATTTACTTTTTATTAGTTGATATATTTCGTCTATATTAACGTGTTTGTTAATTGCATTTTCGTTTGAGTACCAGGCTTCTAGGAATTCCCTGACTGCACTTTTGGTGTTTCCTCTGTCTAAGATTTTGACATTATCCCAATCAAATTGATGTCCATAACTGTCTATATGCATTGATACTAAAGAATATATATCGTGTCTTTTCACGGCTGATTTGTGTTCTTGGATTCTAATTCGAAGGGGACGCCCACTTTGGCCGATGTAATGCTTGTTACAGTTCATACAATTTATTTTGTAAATGGTATTAATTTTATCCCCTTTTTCTGTTGGATCTTTCAGTTTGCATAATATCGAATTAAGCGATTTGACTGGCTTGTGTGCTATATCTATATCAAACGGTTTCAGTATTCTAGCTGTTATTTCAGAGATATTACTCATGTATGGTAGGATGAATTTTCGTGTGGTCTTTGATGATGGTTCTTTGTTGGTGTTTTGATTCGACTTTAAACACTTTTTGATGAAATTTTGTGGATAACCATTCTTTTTGAAGACCGTTTGTAGGTATTTTTCTTCCATTCTTTTCAACTCTGGAGTGCTACAATGTGTTTGAACTCTTTTAAACAATGTCTGCAGATAGATGTAATGTCTAAGAAAGCAAATGATACAGCGTTGCGAAGATACATGGGAGACGTGAAAGGAACACAATATGAAGGAAGGCCAGAAGTAGCACAACACGGTGCAAATGGTGCGTTGAAGATAAGATGTACATAATTTGGTTGCATAGAGATACCGAATTGCAAATAAACATTCCTTTACCAAACCTTTCGTCTTCTACCGTTACAGTAGTACATTGACAGCTTAAAACTTTTCATCGCAAACTTCTGGTATTCATAATACGTAAAAGATGGTGAACAGAATTCTTTTGTCCCTTTATAAGCTAACTGATTTTAAAATAAACAGATAATCATGTAGTGAAATTATCGCTTCACATGTAAAAGGTTCTTATTGTATGTAGTAAAATGTAGTGGCAGTAGCATTCCGTTAACCCATGCACTTATATTTTAAGATCTATCGAAATCGAATTATCATGGTGCAATGAAAATGAAACTTTTATTAACACATGCTAACTTGAATGAATTCTATTCTGAATACCACGTAGAAGTGAGCTTATTCTACAATAGAATGCATAAAATCAAAGAAAATTAGAATTATGAAATAGGTATACTTTAAAAACGACATATTTAGTAGCTTGTGCGATATATACGACTGGTTGATTTTAGTAGTAGGAAAGCCGGCTAACTAGAAACACCGATTCAATTCAGAGAGCTGAGTCGATCCCTCTATACCTCCTTATAAGCCCACTGCAAGTGGACTAAATGGCTATTCGGCACCTAGATGGTGTGTTGCTCCCAGCTATATATCAAATTGCATTTATGCTTGCCGTTTAGGGCGTCAAACAGCTACCATATTGCGGTTGGAATATTTCGGATTTTCAACAAATTGCTGACTGAGTCTCAACACAGAGATTGAGCAGTTCAAGTCGCCACACTCCATGCTGCACACGCAGGTAGACAAAAAAGAGATTCAAAAGACCTACAATTAACAGAAATATGAGGGGGAAAGAATAGTAACATGGAAAGACATAACCGTTTAATGGATACTGGAGATCACAGAGGGTGAATGCAACTGCCTCACTGAGAACAATTTTGAACCAAATCACCTAATGGTACTTAGCATCTCCAGGACTACAATCAAGAAGTCTACGCCCTCCTCATATGTCTCAAACCAACTGTCGAAGACTGGTATCAGGTTTTCGTTTGACCACCCTTAACTCTTTTCCAACCCAATCTTATATCAGCTGACGTAGCTCGTCGAGGAAGGTGGTGTCTCGACATACACAACACGTGTCGTAACCATCTCAGTCGATGTAGCCTCACAATCTGATTTTTAAAGGAAGCAATGATAAAACTCTATTCCAGACTGCGTATTTTGCAAACAATTTGTCGCATTATATATAAGCTACATGCTTCCTTAAATAAAAATGAAACATTTGTCTGGGGCTTCCTGTATGTTACCTGTCATCACCTTAGACTGTCATGTCTTTAATTTTAGATTTATATAGATCATAATGCATCTGCCAATAATAAAAGAGATGAATTAAAAAGTGGTGACAAACCAATCGTTAAATCTACTACAGAAGAGGACTGAAGGAAAGGAATTTGGTTTTTAGACTGAATGACTAGCATAATCGATTCAGAAAGATTGGCAAATTATTTACATCAGAAACTGATCAATATCAGTTAAGTAGTGAACTACAGTATCAATAGCACAATCATTAATAAGAAGACTTAACATGCACTGGAGAACACTAATCTTAGAAAATACTAAAAAATGTAGCGTATTGTCTATTTATTGGAATAACAGTCATCCAGGAATACCCTTACTTATGAATTATCAAAACATTTAACTCTAATACTATGTGACACTAGAAATCGTTCAAACTCTAGGCTAACTAATTCATATGAAATAAAAAAGAAACTAAATGGCATTCAATTAGAGAATAAAGAAAAAATGGTTAGTTTTGATATAACTAGTCTTTATTTTATTTTATTTTTGATTTACAGCTTGATTTCCACACCATATTTTCAGTACAAGTGTGGAATTTTCAGCATGGATATCGGTTGCCCAAATTCAGGCATACCATAGATATCGGGTGTGCGCCGGCAGGGGATCGAACCCCGGACCATGTGCATGGTCAGCGAGAGTCCTAACCACTGTGCCACCACTAATATTCCAATGAATATGGCCTTAGAATCAGCTAAAAAAGAACTAACTGTAGATCCTGAACTCACTCATAGGACGAAGCTGCCCATTGAAGAAATTATTTTAGGAATTCAGTTTTATCTCACGTCTACTATCTTTAAATTCTGGGGCAAAAAATATATAGACAAACAGTAGGGGGTAGCAATGGGATTATCAATATCCCCTATCGTAGCAGATATCTTTATGGACAGCTGGGAAAATATTGCTCTTAATACATTTAATCCTACTCCAAAGACATGGTGGAGATATGTGGACGACACATTCACAGTGTTAAAAATAGAACATATCTCTTATACCATATAAGGAGGGGACATCTGACACCCTATGTAAGATTCTTAATAAAGCAAGAATTAGGGTGGCATTGAAAGGCACAAACTCACTCAGAGACAAGCTCTGTAGGTTAAAGGAAGCAATTCGACAAAATAATATAATTTACAAAACACCCTGCAATGACTGTGAGTTAAGTCAACTACATAGGTCAAACTAGTAGGTTTGGGGTAGTCAGATTCTCAGAACATAAGAATTTAGCTAAGGTGAGAATGGTTGACGCCGAGAAGATAAGTAATTTAGAAAAAAGCTCAGCAATTGCACTGCATGCATTAACACACAATAGGGTGGGAGAGGGTTAAAATTCTAAGAAGTAATATAGGTAGGTGTAGAGAGAAGTTGATTACTGAATCTTTGTTCATAGAATAACCTACACCCAACATGTGGAATAGGAATGACTCATCATTCATACCAAAAATATGGAAAATATTACTGTAACACACACAGCAACAGCCACAACCAACGAAGGAAGAAGGCGAGAGGGAGATGTTTATTTGAACCAAGCCAGGCTTGAATTAAGCGGGTACAGAGTTAGTTATCATAATTTATAACAAGTCTGGACAAACGATCTTCCTCTTGTTCCAGTAAGGCCACGTCAGCGTTTCTTTCTGAAAAAAGAAGAAAAAGAAACTTATTTAGTGGCATTATGGTGGTTTTTATTCCATTACATTACTACCAATCAAATCAAGATATGAAAAATAGTGAACCATACAAACAAAGTTAGAAAGTTATGTGAGTGCCTTGATATGATTATGAGCAATAAATTATGCTGGCAACGTCATCAGTAAATATTACTGTATGAGAATTTATCAAAATAAATTTTATCCACAATGGAATTATACTCTACCACAGTTCTCAAGTTCTATTCTTATATCTACACAACTGCCACAAAAAATTCTTGTCGAGTTCATCACTGTCAAGAAAGTTTTTTCTAGGAACTGATAGCTAGACTGTGATAAATTACAGCATGATAGTATACCACTGACGTTACACACTGGTGACTGCTGACCAGATAGGAGCTATCTAAACACTGAACGGCTGTTTCTCTTGTCTATGGCTGAGCTTCTCAGCGGTGTGCCCGTAATGGCTCATATCACAGTATGTGGTGTGAATATTTTTAGCTTCCAAAGGATACCATAGTGAATCCT